GAGACTTAGAACAGCTGTTTATAACACTTTATGTGTTGAAATGAATTAATAAATTTAAATGTAAATCATTATCATGCAAGTTTGGTAGATTGTACTGATGTTCAATATTAAGTTTTTAAAAAACACAATTTTAAAAATTTAAATGTATATGTATCTCTGTGGAGAAATATTTAAAACATCCCTTGTGTACCTTCATGTGGGCGCTGCCTCCCCCTTGACCATCACTATGGCCAACCCTATCAGGGAGCCTTCCGGAAAAAAAGTGGCACTTCCAATCCTTTTTAAATGATTGGAGGAAGATGATTCCGTGGGCTGTAGTGGAAAGGGCATCCCAATATAGGGTTTGCCTGGGAGAATGTGTGAGTGCAGGAGAGGAAAATTCCACAAAGAGGGTATGAGATAAATTATCTTGAGACAAGAAGGAAATGGCTTAGATGTAGGATGAGACAATTAGAGCAAGGCTGGAAAGGCCAGAGACAGCAAGGTGGGTGTCTTTAAAGGTGCTTGTTGACATTGGGGTAAATTGAAAGACAAATCATGATGGCTCACCTAATGAGTCCAGGAAGTTTTCCTGGAAGAAGTAGCCAGCTAGGGATCTTTCGAATAATGGGAGAAAGGCAGTCACTTAAGAGGGTATTCCAGGCACAGCGAATAGCCTGGAAGAAAGCCGAGGGAGAGGAAGGGGCCAAAATGGTATATGACAGGACTTGGGAGGGAGGAGTCCAGGAAACATAAGGTCACCTGGTGCTCCCTTTGGAAGAAAGAAAAAATAGCACAATCATCAGAAGAGCCCTAACTTCATCCAACCCACTTTATAGATGGTAAAACTGGGCTCCAGAGAAAAAGTGACCTGCCAAGATTGCATGGCTGATTAGTGGGCTTTCAGCTGAAGGCAAAGACCAACAAGGCAAGAGGCAGGTTTGCCTTCTTTGAGGGTGAAGTCTGAAAGCCAGTGCCTCCAGTGAGCCTGGATAAGTCTATGAGAATCTGGCTTCACCACCAGAGCAATTGAGTCCAAGTGTTTATATAATCCATGGATTTTTCTCTTATTCTGGAGGGTTCAGGGGAGGATTGTCCTGGAACCAGCTCAGAATGGCTTTGGGGTGCTGATTGTTAAAATGTCAGCGTAAGCATTATTTACACCTTGGAAATCAGCAAACACTACCATTCAGGATTGGTTTTATTGGGATTTTTTTTTATTGTCTAAACTCTAGAGTGACTTAAGATAGTGATAGAAAAAATGTTGATGATGCAGATTAATCTTAAGTGCATCGGTGGTATTTTTTTTCAGAGAGCTGGTTGTTAAATATTTAGCAGCATACTCTTGGCTCAGAGACAACAGTCTGTCCCTGAACAGCCCAGTCTCTCCCCTCCTTCTAGGCCTCTCATATGAGAAGCTTTCCCTGGTTAATCCCCTACTCTCCCCTCAAAAAAAGTCACCCTCAGCACAGAAGGCACTCCATTCCCGCTTACAATATATCCTGGTGTCTCTCTGGGTCCAGGGCCCTAGCTCCTTCATCACTCTAAGAACTCTCCAGGGTAGGGACTTTTTCTGCTCCTTATTTTGGCTTCTCTAGTACTCTCCCATCAAACCCCCAGTGCACAGCGTTGGGCTTTTCACATAGACAGGGCAGTCCAAACAGGTGGGGTGGAAGTCACCATTTTGGTGGTCTCCCCTTCAGCATCCTATTTTCATACCCCACCATCACCAAGGAGAGGCAGGGATAGATTTTAACATGTAAAAGTTCCAACAAAAGTCAAAGAAGGTGGGGAGGAGAATTGTAAGAGAAATGTCTAGGAGGGTGTGGTTTTTATGAATGCGGGCAGCATGAGTGAAACCTTCGGTGCCTCCAATATTCCCACCCCCTTCTTCTCTCCCCATAGGGGGCCACTCCTTACTTCCTGACTTCAAAGGTGCCTTAAATCCCACACCCCCGCCTCCTCTCCTGCTGCCTGTCCCACAGAAGTCAAGTGGTCAGACAGAAGTTTATCCTGAGTACCAAAACGTGGACACAAGGCTTGGAGAAATTTGACCTTCCTTGCCTTTTCCTGGGCTGTGTCCCCTGGGGCTAGAATGGCACCTCTCCTCACCTCCTAAGACAGTTCAAATCCCACTTTTGGCAAGAGTCCTTTTCCAGTCTTTTCTCCCCTGTCCCTCCCCACTGCTAGTGCCTTCCCTCTGAGATTGCCTTCCATTTACACATCTTGAGCGTGCATAGTTACTAGCATGTTATTAGATTGTAACATTAGATTGTGAGCTCCTTGAGGGCAGGGATGGATTTTTTTTTCATTTGTTTATGTCCTCAGTACTTATTACAGTGTGTGGCACATAGAACCTAATAAATGCTTATTGATGCTAATGATGATGAAGGAAGTGTGGGGACCTCAGTAAAAATCACAGTATATACTCCTTGTCATCTTTGCACCCAAGTAGAGTTGACATTTATATAACTCTAAGATTTTTAAAAAACACTTTACGTATGTGCATACACTTGGACCTCATGATAAATGACCCTCATTCACCCCAGAGACCCTCATTCCCACTTCAGTTTACAATGTACCCTGGTGTCTAACTGATACAGCAAGAATGATCGATAACATGGAAAGAGCGCTCTTCTGAAAGTCATAAAGCCTGGCTTCTAACGCCAGCTCTCCAAGTACCTATGTAACTTTGGGCAAGTTGTTATCCTTCTCTGGGCCTTGGCCTATCTATATAATACTGGGATAGAAATTAATGATCCCTATAGCCCCATCCAGATCAAAAACTTCCTCTCTTGTCTCTACCACTTACTATGTCATGTTATGTCATGACATTAGCTATGTGTCCTTGGGCCCCAGTTTCTCTCATCTGTGAAATATGAGGTTTGAGAGTTCTTAACCTGATTTGAATCATGGGCCTCCTTGGCATTCCGGTGAAGCCAATGGACCCCTTCTCAGAGTAATGGTTTTAAATTAGCAAAATAAAAGAGTATTAGAAAGGAAACCAATTATATTGAAATAAAAATGTAATTTTTCCCATCCACATTCATGGAACCCCCTATCCACTCCTTGGAGGCCCATGGACCCAAGGATAGGAACCCCTGGACTAAATGAGCTGTAAGGTCTCCTTTAGCTCAAAAACCTGTGATTCTATTATTATGCCCATTTTAAAGATGCAGGAACTCAGACAGGTGAGGTCACTTACCCAAAGATGCACAACAAACAATGAGCACCAAGAATGACTTTGAAGAGAAAAAAGAGGCGTGCTCTTTGAGAACAACATGAGGGAAAATATTTTTGATTCTTCTGAAAGGTGGGAGATTTATGGATTATCTGACGAAGTCTCTCCTCCTCTTTTCCATCTGGTTACCTTCTGAATCACTGCCCAGCCACAGGTGGCCAAAGCCCACTCCTCCCTGCACCGAATACTAAAGTCACTCACACCTTAGAGAGAGAGAGACAGACAGAGAGACAAGAGAGAGACAGACAGAGAGACAGAGGCAGAGAGACAGAAAACAGGGACAGATGAACAGAACTTAAGACATCCTGTTGAAGGTGTGAAGGAAAGGTGAATATAAATGGTTAATCAAGAAAGGCCGCTTGAATAAGGTAACAGAGAATGAAGAAAGTTTAATAATTGTTATTCTCCTCTTAAAGTTTTGAGGGCTTTGACCATGTGGACTGTCTCCCATTGCCTGGGAAGAAGAGATCATGTCTTTTCAGTTTCATGGAATCCCTCTATATAGCTGCTGCTTAGTAAACATTAGGGCAGTAGCAATAATTATGCTAACAAATGGCCCAAGGACACATGAGGAGGTAGGGGTCAGCGTCAGGAGCTTTCTGAGTCTCCTGGAGCAAGAAATCTAGAGTCCTTGGGGTTGGAGGAACCACAAGAATGCATCCTCTCCCTCTTCCTGTCCCTGAATGTTCGTGGATGTATGAATAATTCTTATGCTGGAAAGGGAAATGGATGATCCATCTATCTGGCACCTTTTGGAAGAAGGGAGAATTATAAGGTCTGTTTCTTTCAAGCAACTGGAGAAAGAAGCCCAGAGCACATCTTCAGAGAGCACAATCAACTCTTTGGTGTTTTGGGACTGGTTCTCCAACTTGTGGTTTTTCTAGACTCTAGTTTCTCTTTTCAGCCATTTCCCAAACATCCTTATTAAGGGCAACCAAGTCTTTTGAACAGTCCAGGGAAATGGATTGTGGGGAAAGAAAGAGACACAACTTTTAGAAATTATCTGGTGGCTCTCATTCTTGTGACCACAGATAATCTAGTAGAAGTGGTTTGGGATTTCACTGGGAAAGGAAAGAGAAGCTAGAACCAGACTTTCTGGGCTGGAGTCTAGAGGGGTCAAATAGATTATCTACTTTATTTTCTATCCTCTGTAGGCACTGTGGGAGGCAGAGGAATAACCAAAATGACCTCTCTGGGTCATTCTTCTGAGCACCAAAGTATAGGTCTGGTACCCTCCAAGCTTTATGCCAATGCAGCTGCATTTAATTCAAGAATAAGAGAAAGTTGATAGGAGGCTGGTGAATCCTGAATGGAGGCAGGAGATACCCAACATCTTCCATGTCCCCTACAACTCATCTTCTGATCCCCCCTACTCCTAGTCTGTTTGTTTAGGAGTTCAGCTCAGTCTCTGGGTGTGGGTTGAGGATACCTCACAGGGAGACTGTGAAAATTAATTACTTAATGTATGTAAACTAGCTTTGAAGATGAAAAGTGCAAACACACTGTGTTCCTAATAACATCTTCAATACTCTTACATCGCCCCAGAGTCGCCTCTGAGCTCACCATTAAGATGAGTCTTTGGGGAGTTGCTGGCAAACTCCCCAAGCTAATAAACAAGATAAAATGCATTTTCACTCCTTTTATGCAGCCAACCCCACCTCTGCCCACTAATAAAAGGACTCAGTTGGATCAGAGAGGTTAGAAGGAATCTGAGCCCCACTCTCTTGCTGCTGGTACTCATTCATTCTCTATACTCCACCACTCGGACCCCACCAGCAACATGTCTTGCCGTTCCTATCGTATCAGTTCGGGTTGTGGTATCACCAGAAACTTCAGCTCCTGCTCGGCTGTGGCCCCCAAGACAGGCAACCGCTGTTGCATCACTGCTGCCCCATACCGTGGGGTGTCCTGCTACAGGGGACTGACCGGCTTTGGCAGCCGCAGCCTATGTAATGTGGGCTCCTGTGGCCCCCGAATCTCCGTTGGAGGCTACCGTTCCATGAGCTGTGGCCGGAGCTTCGGCTACCGCTCTGGGGGAGTGTGTGGCCCCAGTCCCCCCTGCATCACCACTGTGTCTGTCAATGAGAGCCTCCTGACCCCCCTCAACCTGGAGATTGACCCCAACGCCCAGTGCGTGAAGCATGAGGAGAAGGAACAAATCAAGTGTCTCAACAGCAAGTTCGCAGCCTTCATCGATAAGGTCAGTATCACCTCTTAGCTCTTTCTGAATCATAGGATCCTGGGATCATCTATTTAGAGAGAGAAGGGGATTCAGGGGCCATCTAATCCAACCTCTTTATTTTACAAGCAAAAAAATGGCAGCTCAGAGGAAGAGCAAAGCTAGAATTTGAACCCAAGTTCTCTGGCTCCAACTCACTGCCCAATTGTGAGATGGGGCATCCACCTTATGCACCATGTGGCCTCTCATCTTTCATGCAGAGCTGGGCACTGGGCAGTAACATAGACGGGGAGGGCACAGGTTTCTGGGAACTCCCAGTCTGATGGGGAGAATGGGACACACCCAGAAAGCAGAAAAACAACAATAATACCTCAACTTGGCATAGCATTTATAATTTTCAAAATATGACCTTATGTCATTCAATCCTCATGATAGCCTAATGAGATGGGAAGAATAGACATTACTATCTCTATTCTAAAGGTGAGAAAACTGAGGGTCTGGGTAGATTGGGTAGGAAATTACTTAGTAGCTTTTCATATATTTAGAGCTGAAAGGTATAGCAGAAGTCAGTCAAACCCCATCATTTTATAAATAAGGAGGAAACAGATACTGAGAGAGACAACAGATAGGCCAAGGTCACAGAGACGGTAAGAACAAAGATTGAGGCCTAGGTCCTTTGACTCCAAATATGGTGCCAGAGGTGGAAACACTCTTTTCAACAAAGGTCAGACAGGTGAGCTTACTGTTCCATCTTCCAACTCACCAATGATAGATCCAGTCTGCCTCTCAAGTCAAAATTCTTCCTGATTTTCTGAGAGATGCCTTTCTACATTTGGTTAGAAGGATGGAAAACCATGGAAGGAGCAGATGTATTTTGTGGCCAATGGAAGAAAGGAGGCTAGGGAGAGGCAAATAATAAGCTTCTGCCTTCCTTCCTGGTGGCAATCTGGGTGCCCCTTCTGCAGGATTGACCCTGATGGTCTCACGTATACAATGATACATTCAACGGACATTTCTTAAATACTATGTGTAATGATGCTCTCTAAGAATACTTAAAGGCAATAGATGGTATCAGTCCAGTGGCGTCTTCTCATGCGTGTATTCTTTAATTGACTCCAATGTTCCAGGCAACCAGGTAGGGCCTTCCCTAAGAAAGGCAAAGCCCACACTGAGAGACTCAGAGTAGAAACTGCTCTTTTGTGTTTTCCTTCCCAAGAAAACAGAGGACAGTTAGGGAACAACTTTGCCCTGTGGCAAAGATGGCATCCTAGAGAGAAGTATGGTTTATTCTCCTTTGGGCAGTGGCAGGCTCTCCCATGATATCTCTCTCGCTGGTACTGCAGGTTCGGTTCCTCGAGCAGCAGAACAAGCTTCTGGAGACCAAATGGAACTTCTACCAAAACCAGAGATGTTGCCAAAGCAACATGGAGCCTCTGTTCAACGGCTACATCGAGACCCTGAAGCGGGAGCTGGAGTGTGTGGAGGCCGACAGTGGACGCCTGTCCTCTGAGCTCAATCACATGCAGGAGGTGCTGGAGGGCTACAAGAAGAAGTGAGTGATGAGGGGACAGGGAGTCGAGAGGTCCTCATGGGAGGTGGCTCTGAAGCTTGGCATTTTTAAACAACTTGATTTAGACAGGTCAGGAAGGGACCAGGTGAGGGCAGGGAGGCTCATTCATTGTGTGAGTGATCTAGGACCATATGGACCTCAATTACGTGAGAAAACATGGGCTCATGGTTTGTTTCATGACTTGAATTAACAGAACAATAATGTAGAAGATGGAACTGATTTTAGCAGAGGTAAGGTCAGAAATGTAACAGGAGATTATAGGTCTGTCCAATTTCCTAAAGGCCTACCAAGCCCAATGGCTGACTTCACCAAGTCAATTTTATGAAAAAGATTTCCTGATTCTCCTTTATGGAGAGGGGGATTCCCTGTGGTATGGTTTGTCCCAAGCATTGGGTAATATAAAATTTTCTTCTGTATGGTTCTGAAGTGTCATGGCTGACATCTCCTCTTTGGGAGAAGTATAAACTTTCCAATGCAATGAGACTCCCATAATTGAGTTTGCATTTCCTAAGCCGAGCCAGCTTGGCCAAGAAAAATGGGAATCTTGGGGTTGGCAGAGAATCCAGCCTGAAGTGGATCATAGAGTTACAGATTCAGAGCTGGAAGGGACCTTAGAGAAGATGGAATCCAACCCCTTCATTTTATAGATGAGAAAATTAAGACCTTAAGAGATTGAGTGACTCACCCAGCTAGTCATTTAACCTCTTACTTACAGCTAGTAAGTGTGAGTGACTAACACTGACTGTTTAAGTGACTTATACTGCTAGGAAGTATCAGAGGTGGGATTTAAACCCCTGTCTTTCTGACTCTAAGTCCAGTGCCCTACTGATTACACCACACTTTTTCCATATCCCTTCACCAATGCAGATAGGAACCTGTTCAATTTAGGGGAAAGGAAAGGGAAGGGGATATGCATTTATTAGACAAACTCTGTATGTACCAAACACTGTGCTGAGTGCTTTACAAATAGTATCTCATTCAATTCTCACAACAACCCTGACAGGCATTGTGACCCTCATTTTACAGTTGAGAAAACTGAAGCAGACTGCAGTTAAGGGACTTGCCCAGGGTCCCACAGCTAGTAAGTATCTGAGACCAGAATTGAACTCAGAATTTTAGAGAATTGCCTGCGGCCCTGAGATATTAAGTAACTTGCACAGGACCACATAGCTAGTAAGTGTCCGAGGTAGGATTTAAAGTCAGGTCTTACTGGCTCCTATCATTCTATGCTACTTCTATTGAATGGCCCATAAGTACTGAAGGCACAAAGCAGGTGTGGGACAGTGCGCTAAAGAAAGCCAGCTAGTGAATGTATGAGGGAGTGTGTATTTTGATTGTTGCACCTGGGTCATGAGGCTCAGCTCAGAACACGGGCCCCACTCCTCAGCTCTGATCTTCTATCTCCCCACGCCCAGGTATGAAGAGGAGGTGGCCCTCAGGGCCACAGCTGAGAATGAATTTGTGGTGCTAAAGAAAGTAAGTAGGCCAAGAGAAATGACAAACACACCAGTCCTTGTAACAGGCTCTTTGGGGTGGAATCCCCCCCCCACCCCTGAGCCCAAAGGGGCTTCCATGGTAGGCCTGCTGTCACATGCTTCTCTGCTCCCTTTCCTCCCCACTTTCAGGATGTGGACTGTGCCTACTTGCGGAAATCTGACCTGGAGGCCAATGCTGAAGCTCTGACAGAGGAAATCAACTTCTTGAAAGCCCTGTATGAGGAGGTGAGGGGGATGGGGAGGAAGCTGGGCAGTCAGCCCTGGGGAGTGTGTGTGCACGTGTGAGGATGCTTGCACATGCATATGTGAATGTGAGCTGTAATGGACTGGGCATTGCTAAGGTTGTCTATGCATATGAATATGAGTCTAGTGGACCAGTGATTTCAAGTGGTGGCAGGAATTACCGAGAGAGGACTCTACCTCCACCAACACAGGTGGCTGGCACCCGGCTCATGACTTGGCCTTGCAGAGTTAGCGTCATGTTCAGGGTCCTAGGGTCAGTATGTGTCAGAGTCAGGACTTGAATCCAGGTCTTCCCAGCTTTGAAAACAGCCCTCTATTATTAATATAAACACAGCATTTCAAGCCAGACAAGAATGTACATGGAGCATCTATGTGTCTACATGTATGGTTATGTATGTGTCTATATGTGTGACCGTGTTTATGTGCATATGTATATATGTGAGCCTGTAGTTTTGTCTTTTCATATGTCTATGTGAGCACGTGGGTCTCTGGTGTGTGTGTGTGTGTGTGTTTGGAAGCATGTGCTTGGCTATATATGAAGTAAGATATATATCTGTACGTGTGTGTTTTCTTGTTTGTATGTACATGTACATGTAAATGCATATGTGGAACAGCTGTGGCTTGAGTCCCTTCCTGGCCCCTAGGGAGGGCTTTCTTCTGTCCTTTAGAGATGGGAGGGACTGGCCTGAATGTGTTGCATGTTGGCCTCCACAGGAGATCAGGGTCCTCCAATCACAAATCTCAGACACTTCAGTCATTGTCAAGATGGACAACAGCCGTGACCTGAACATGGACTGCATAGTGGCTGAGATCAAGGCTCAATATGATGACATCGCTAGCCGTAGCCGGGCTGAGGCCGAATCCTGGTACCGCACTAAGGTATATCAGTTGCCTTAGACACCTTGGTGGGTCAGATGTGTGCAGGGAGGGATGGTGGTGTAATAGCTCAGTTTTCTACAGTGCTTTGAGAGCTAAAGAATCCTTTTATTACAACAAGCTTGTAAAGTAGGCATTATATATACTGTAATACATTTCACAGATGAAGAAATAGGAGTCCCCAAGAGCTGATGTGACTTGCCTATAGTCACACAGTTAGTAAGTATTAGAGCTGGGATTTAAACACACAGATGTCCTGATGCCAGATCCTTCTACCACATCATGCTGAGATTGTATGTAAAGGGGCTATCTGTCTTTCAGGTCACATCCCCAAGCCTGCTCTCTCCTTGTCTGTTTTCCTCCTAATCTATAGCTTTCTTTATTCTTTTTCATTCTTTCTACTGCTTCTGTTCCTACCCAGTCCTTAGCTTTCTAACCTTCTCGGTTTGCTCCATATCTGCCCTTCTCATGCTGATATCATGTAGCACATGTACACACACACACACACACACACACATACATACAGGGCTCTATCAAGCATGGGGTCAGTATGGCCACAGCCTTGTGCCCGAGACAGCCAAATTCCAGGACACAGGAAGAGCTCGTCAAAATGGACAGAGATTCTCAGAGCCCTCTATAGCTCCGTGAGAAGCATTTCCAAATGGAATTTCCAACCCCATCCATACAGGTAGAGGAAACTAAGTCAGGAGTGAAAGAACAAAGGGGTAGACTGCAGATCCTACAGTCATGTTAGAGACATAGATCTATGAGTCTCACCATAAAGTATTAGATTCCCTGCTCTATGCCAGGCCTTACTCTTTGACTCTCAAAATGGTATTCAAATGAATACTCATGAGCTAGGAAATGAGTGTCATAAAACTGCCTTTCAGTGAGTACAAAACAAAGAAAACCCATCAGGAAAGTTACCATGTTTAATTCCATCCCATCACATGAGAGATTGGTGGTTTTTTTCCTAGTCTCAATTTCCCAGCAAATGACTGTTTTTCCTAGTCCTAGTTTTCTGATCTTAACAGTGGTGTGACCTCTGGTAATCCACTCAACCTCTCAGAGGCTTAGAAAGTCCCATTATCTCATAGTTTTTGATGAAGTGAAGGCCATAGATTAATCCATTATGGTGAAGATCTTCTCACCTATAAAACAAGAACTTTGGACTAAATGACTTCTAAGTTTTTTCCATCTCTAACATTTCATAATTCCCTGATTCTAAATACTCATGGAAATCCATGTATTTCCAAATTCACCTTATACTTTCATCCCTGGCTAATTCAGTCCCAGTTGGTCACTCTTCTGACATGCATTAGTACTCTCTGCCTCATTGGCACCCCTGCAACCCTTAAAGTAATAATGATGATGATGATAATAATAATAATAATAACAATACTATACACTGGGGAAAAGCCAGAAGGAACAGGCAACCCAGTCCAAGCCAGTCTAATCCAACAAGCATTTATTAAGAAACTACTATGTTCAAGGTGCTAAGAATTCAAAAGTATAACTAAAAACAGTCCCTGCTCTCAAGGAACTGGCATTCTACTGGAATGTGCCCTGCAATTGGGGAGTTCTCATTCTAATGGAAGAGATGGGATAGATGTCTGGGATGTGTGGCATAGAGCTCCATGATAGAGATACAGCCACAGAGAGAAAATGGCAGACTCAGAAGTAGCCAGACAGATGACTGCACATCTGTTCCCTGGTGCAATGAAAGAGTTAGATTTGGAGTCAGAGTACCTGGTTTCTAAACCCAGCCCTGACAATTACTACATATTTGACTTTGGTCAAATCAGCTAACTCCTCCTTTCATAAATGAGCTTCCTCATCTATAAAATTAAGTGGAAGAACAGTTCTATGTCTATGGTTCTGTGACTGAGCAGAGTATAGCTGAGGGAGTAGGAGTATGGTGGGGTGTACTCATTGGGGAAGGCTTTCTGGAGAAGGAGAGTTTGGAAGGAAGAAAATAGATGGATGGGTTGAGAGAAGAAGTAGGTGGAGGATGCCCAAGGCTGGGAATAACTTTGGTGAAGGTTCAGAAGTATGAGAAGCTGAATTGGGGACACAGGGATGGAGGAGATAAGGGTTAAGTTTGCTTGGTTGGGTGAGAGATGGAAGTGATGGAGAGGAGGAGGTAAAATCAGATGGTGATGGTGAGTAGAAAGATCTTGAAACCCAGAATAGAGTATGACTAGAAGTGATAAAATCCATTTAGGCTTCTGAGCAGGAAAGCTTCAAGTGTCCCTGTCCCCAACACTTCCCCTTAATCACTTCCATCTGTCATGTCCCTGCAGTGTGAGGAAATGAAGGCCACAGTGATCCGCCATGGGGAGAGCCTTCGAAGGACCAAGGAGGAGATAAATGAGCTGAACCGCATCATTCAGAGGCTGACGGCTGAGATTGAGAATGCCAAGTGTCAGGTACGAGAGACAAGGGGGAAAGTCCTTGTGCAAATGCCCTTACAACCCTTCTCCTTCTTCCCCTTCCAAAGCCAATGACTCTTATAGACTTTTCTGAACCCAACTTCAGTATATCTGTGTGGGAAGCCTTAGGCATAAATTGCCTCAGGGCTCATTTTCCAAATGGGGAAACCCAGAGGATTTATTAGAAACTTTACAGTTTCACACATTTTGTGGGGCTGGATAAAAATGAGAGTATTGTCATTGACTCCCACTGACTCTGGAGTCAGAAGAAGAGACTCAGCTCTGGGGGATGTAAAAGGTGGGTACTCCCATCCATTTAGATATGAAAAATCCCAAGGAACTATCTCTAATCACTCCAGAAGGAGAGATCATGGTTAATTATGAAGCACTTTCTAATATGAAATTATGACATGAACAGCCAAGAAATATTGTGGAAAATTACCCTGAAGAGGTATAAAATGGGATCAACTATCTGCATGACCTTGGTCACTTAAACTCTCTGAGGCCTACTTTCCTCATCTTTAAGATGAAGGTACTGGACTAGATGACCTCAGAAGGTCTTTTAGGAAAGAAAGAGACAACTATTTAGTAAATGACTATTGTGTGCCAGGCACTGTGCTAAGTACTTTGCAAATATTATCTTATCTAATCCTTACAACAGCCCTGTGAGGTAGGTGCTATTGTTATCCCCATTTTGTAGTTGGGTAAACTGAGGCAGACAGCAGTTAAGTGACTTGCCTAGGGTCATAAAGCTAGTAAGTATCTAAGACCAGATTTGAATTCAAGTCTTCTTGACTCCAGACTCAACACTATCCATGGTACCACCTGGCAATTTTTATCTCTAAATCCTATGATCTCTCATTGCTGTGGGATAGCTCTGACAGAGACCCTAGAGGGATTTAAAAAATTAGATGCAGGTATAACCTGTAGGATAAAAATCAAGAAGTCAAGAACCACTTTCTTCCTACCTATCTTCCCCATTTCCCTGTCTTTCCCCTGGCTAGAGATCCTAGCCCATATCCTTCTTCTTCCAGAACTCCTTAACCATCCTTTCTTTCTCCATCATGTCGTGCAACAAAAAGGTATTTTCTCATTCCTTTCTTCCTCTGTTCCCTTCCCCCATAGCGCTGTAAACTAGAGGCTGCAGTGGCAGAGGCTGAGCAGCAGGGTGAGGCTGCCCTCAATGATGCCAAGTGCAAGTTAGCTGAGCTGGAGGGTGCCCTACAGAAGGCCAAACAGGACATGGCATGTCTGCTGAAGGAATACCAGGAGGTCATGAACTCCAAGCTGGGGCTAGACATTGAGATCGCCACCTACAAACGACTGTTGGAGGGCGAGGAGCACAGGTGAGATCTGCCAGAGACATGAAGGAATATAGAAGGGATGCAACTCTCTCTGGACCAGCGGAAGAGGTCAATGTTAGAGATGAAGAACTTTCTAATGTGAAATTCTGGCATGGCCTATCAAGAAAAATTGTGGAATATGGGGCCAGACCAGGTGGCTTAGGGATCATAGTGCCTACAACCAGCAGACATTTCTGCTAATTCTAAACACAATAGGTCCAACTTCAAGAGAAATTTTGGGTAGATGTAAGGTAAAACTTGAATATTCTACAGAGACTTTAGGTTTGGGGAATCCAAGAAAGACAAGCCTTCCCCAAAGGGTTCAGGATGCAGAGACGTTCCCTCCATCCCTCTGAGTGCCCAGTGATGACATCATGAACGTAGTTCTCTTAGCTCAAGGAAGGTGAATTGAGATGTGCAGGACTAACCTCTCTCCCTTTTCCTTTCTCCATAGGCTGTGTGAAGGTGTGGGGTCTGTGAACGTCTGTAAGTATCCTTCACCCAAACTCTTTGACAACATGGCTTGTTGGGCAAAGCTGGTGGTTCCAGTTTAAAAATCTGGGTCCATAAGCTACACAGTTTAGTGGGTCTCCAGCCATGTGTTCAGAAGGGTTCTTGGGAAGTCCCAGGGAAGAGGGTGGATCGCAGGGACTAAAGCTATAGCAAATAGTTTTCTGGTGGTGGCATCCATGCAGACTATGAGAACAGAGGAAGACAATCACCACTTTTCTAGGCTGCCCCTTCATCCTAACTGACCTTCTTTCTCCCACTCCTTTCCTAAGATCAATCCGTTCTGATGCTGAGAATAAAAGCAGTTTTATGGGCACTGGATCCCTAAGTTAGAAGTCCTAAATTCTAGTGTCATCTTTGCAGTTAACTAACTTTGCAATATTGGGGAAGCCACCTTATTTCTTGGTTTTCCCATCTACAAAATGAGGCAGTTGTACAAGACGATTTCCCAGGTCCCATCCAGCTCTTAAATTCCATGACCTAGACAGTATTTGACATCTACTTAGTGATGGCTGATCCTATGGCATGCCCTGAATTCTGGAGGGGGGATGGGAACAGGAAATGTGTGAGATCAGTCAGTTCGGTCCCTTCACATCTTTGTCTCTCATCCCACAGGCGTGAGCAGTTCCCGGGGTGGGGTGACCTGTGGGGGTCTCACCTGCAGCACCACCCCAGGACTCCAGATTGCCTCTGGTCCTTCTGCCTCTGGGGGCAGCTACACAGTGATGGCACCTGATTCCTGCGCCCCCTGCCAGCCCCGCTCCTTGGGCTTCAGCTGTGGGAGCAGCCGGTCTGTCCGCTTTGCATAGAGAGCTGGGATCTCATGCAAAAAGCACACTCCCACCACCCTCTCAACTTCCTGCCACAGAACTGACGATGAATGGAATGTCTGTGTTGTTGCTTCCTTGAGGCTGTGTTCCTGAATACTAACCCTTCTCCTCTTACCTCCATGAAATCACACTCCATGAAATCTCCCTTTCCATCCCACCACCTGGCTCCCATTTTAGGGAACTAATTTCCAGGATTCTATTTGACTTCCATTTAAGGACTCATTTCTAACTCCCTTAACTCTCCAGTTAAGCCCCACTCATCATAGTATTGTCATCTTTGTATTAATCATCTCACTTCTACCATCACCCTCTAGCATCCCACCAATTATCCCCTAGTGGCAGTATAACTGGGAAATTTACCCATCCCTTTGGGTAGAGGGTTTTTGAGGCTACAAAACATGACTTCCATAACATAGAAATCCAATGGAAAGAGAAACTCAACTCTAGAACCTCCTCTTTCCCAGCCAGGAAACTAGGGAGTTAAATGTCCAGGGTTGTCTTTTGGGAAGCAATTGACTGTTTTGTGTGGTTTTGGCTATGATTGCCTTCCTTCTTTTGGGTTAACCTGTTCTGGCTAACCTCCTTATGTGGTTTTGCAGTTGAGAAGCTGGTTAAGCATAGAATTCCTTCTGCCTATAGCACTTGGGTAAGAGGACTTCACATGTGTCTTGCACCTTTATACATTTCAGAGAAAACTGGATGGAAATAGTGATTGCTTCAGCTCTCCTCCCATTGTGTACAAAAGGTGTTTTATTAATGCAATGAATAAGGGTGGAGAGTAAGGTTTGGCCACTTCTTGTATATCTCTCTTTGTTGTAAATGTCTGTGGGTGTCCTACCTTCTGGTTGTCTCATTCTGTATTTCAATAAACTGTTGCAGCGTATCAGAGGCGTGTATTTGAACAAATGGGGTGGGTGTCCCAGGAGACATTAACATGTCAAGACTGAGCCTGATGTGGAGGTACATGCCCGCAATCCCTTCTGCTGGGGAGGCAAAGGCTGGTGGATTGCTCCAGTTCAGCAGTTCTGAGATGCAGGAAGTCTAATGCTGGCTGGGTGTCCACACTAAGTCTAGCAAGAATATGGTGAGTCCTCCAGAAGGCAGGACCACCCAGCTGCCAAGGGAGTGGGAAACCAACCCAAGAGGGAAAAACAGAGCAGGTTAAAGCTTCTGTGCCAGTTGGTATTGCGATCAGGCCCATAAATGACTACTGAACTTCCAACCTGGGCAAGACTAGGAAACCCAGTCTCCAAAAAAAAAAAGGGGGGCGCAAGAAATCTGCCAAGACTGAGCTCACCATTTCCCTACCCCTAGGATGTCAATAACAACCCACCTCCATGCCTCCATCTTGCTATTGTTCAATTCTCACCAAATTCTACACATCCTTTCTCCGCAGTGTTTATCTCTTCACCTTACCCTTGCCTGTTCATCTCTATAATCCTCACCCTAGTCTAGGCCTTTATCAACTCACTGCTGGAGGAGAACAAGAGCCTCCCCACCACTTTCCCTATCCCTCATCTCTTCCCCCTACCATCCATCCACTATAGAACAGTAGGCATTAGGATGCCATGAGGACTACCTGGGCATATCGCCTCTCTTTGGCTTCTTATATCCAAGCCAAACTTCCCTGCTCAAGTTTTAAGGCCTCTACAAATATGGTTCTCCCCCTACCATGACCATTTAATCCTTCTTATCAGCCCAGATTCCCTAATCCTGGAAACCACTCCATCCAGGCAAAACTAGCTGCCCTGTCTCTGAGACTACATTGACCATTCTTCCTGCTAAAACCCCCTCCCTTTCCTTCTGCTGAGACTTGCCCCATTTGTCTGCTTCTCAGCCCAATTTCACATCCCTGTTTCCTTGATGAGAATACTTTAGTTCCACTCTCTATCACCTCCTTCAGCACTGGCATCTGTCCAGGTGCCCCCAGTCCTATCCTTATCTTTCCATCCCTCTCTGGGTCTAGATTGGGTGTCAATCTTCTCCATCCAAATGGGAGGTTCCTCAAGGGCAATCTGCATCTCTCTACAATATCCAGAACATGGGTCTAAGTGGTTCAGCTAGATGGCACAGTGGATAGAGCATCAGACTGGCGTCAGGACAACCTGAATTCAAATCCAGCCTCAGAGACTTACTAGCTGTGTGATCCTGGGAAAGTCAATTCCTCTGCCTCAGTTTGCTCATCTGAAAATTGAGGATGATAATACATCTACTTCCAGGGTTGCTGTGAAGATCAAATGAGATAATATTTGTGAAGTATGCATGGTTCTTGGCATAGAGTATGTTTATTATTATTATAATACCCAAAGAACCAAGGGTGGGCAGACAGATAAGAGATGTGCTCTGCTCCCCAGTTTTCTGCCACAGTGGTTCCTTTCCTCCATGATATCAACATTTGCCAGGCAATTTTCTTCCTCCAGTTTCTTCTCCATGCTACTATCTCTTCCTGGCTTCCTTCAAGACTCAACGGAAGCACCAGCTTCAGTGAGGGATCTTTCCATGTCCACTCAGAAGCTAGTGCCTTCCCCTCTGAGATTACCCTCTACCTACTTTGCATTTTATTTATAATCATGTATGTACATGTCTCCTCTACTAGAAAGCAAACCCCATGGGGACAAGGACTAGTTGTGCTTTTTCTTTGTGTCACCAGCACTCTTCACAGTGACTGGCACATAGTAAAGTGCTTAACAAATGTTCTTTGATTGGCTCACAGATACTTTGCAGGTTCTTTTGACTGGGAGAGAGAAGGTGAAACCCATTGTGCTGTTAGTCCCAAGGGTTTGACAGCCACTGGGGTTGTTGCATTGTCTGAGAGGGTTTGAAGCCTGACACCAAATGACAATCTTTTTGTCCTCTTGAACCCCTTTTTTTTAAAAGATGGAATGTAATGTTGGACTGAATGAGCCCCTCATAAGTTCTGTGAAGATGGACAAATCACCTCTCTTCTCTGGGACTCAGTTTCCTCATCTTTAAATGAGGTTATTGGATTAAGTGATCGCTGAGGATTCATTTCAAAGATTCTGGTATTTTCATATGATATAATAGTCTGTGTGCTGAGATTGGAGTCAGGGTGGCCTGAGTTCAAATCCTGTCTCTGATCCTGGTTAGCCATATTACCCTGGGAAGATCACTGAATCTCTCTGGGCTTCAGTTTCCTTTTCCATAAAATGAGAGGGTTACACTAGCAGATCTCTACAGTCTATTTCAGCCTGAAATCTATGATCATAGGATCATAGTGAGTTCTGAATTCGTACCAGCTCTCCTCTCCTCCCTATCTTTGTTTTTATCTTAAAAATTTCAATAATCTAATAAGCTTCAACGACAATAGTCAACTTTCAACTCCAGAAAATTTCTAATTTCAAGGTCCCACTTTCCCATGACATTGCAAAATTGTGCCCCAAGGTAATTCCAGTGTCCTAGAGTGGGAAAAAAAAAAGTTAGTAGACTAAGAATGGGAAAATCTAGATCCTGATCCTAGTTGTAAATTTCAGATGACTGTGTGATTCTGGGCAGGTCAGTTGGCCTCCCTGAGCCAATTATTTTATATTAGTTTTAATTATATATTAATTAATTAAATTTATTTTAATTTAATTATAATTAGTATTAATTAGATTAGTTTCTTCATTAGTAAAATGAAGGCTCTAGATTAGATAATCTTCCCTTTCAGTTCTATGATTATAGATTTCCTAATAATAACTAAGATTTATGTAGCACTTTAAGGTTTACATTGATCCTCCAACAACCTTGGGAACTAGGTGCTATTATTATCTTTATTTTACAGATGAGGAAATTGAGGCTCAGGGTCAAACAGTTAATAAGTGTCCAATTCATACTAAGGATTTTCTGACTCCAAGTCCAATGCTTAACCCCCTATGCCAGCTAGCTACCACTAAATCTTTCTTAAGTAGTTGCTACAAATCTGCCTTGGTCAAGTACAGGTAAATCTGATTGGGAAGCATTGTGCCTGAAAAGCAGTGATGTGGGATGGGTCCAAGCCAAAACCTTTGCCTCTTATCCCATAAGAATTTGGGTACCATTTGTTTGAGGGGGGAATGGAAACCCCCTCCTCGAACTCTCCTTGAAATTTCCCTCTTGATCAAGTTAAGTCTCTAGCAGTTCACCTGAGGCATCATCCCAGTAATCCCCTCAACTGGCCTTTCATTTTGGCTATCTCCAATCTCCCAATTCTGTTACCTCTGACCCACCCACTTCATTGTCTGTTACCTTCTCACCCTTGATACCATCTAGACCCCATTCTCCCTTGGCTACCTGGTCTAGATCGTGATATTCACCAGCTCCTTCTCTGTTACTTCACAGTCACCCGAGCTTACTGGACACTCCCATCCAGAACCTCCCTAGACCCTTCCTCACAGTCACCCCAAACTACTTGGCCACTCCTAGATCTCTCCCACAGTCTTTCTGTACATAGAGTCCATCTTGTCTCCACTAAGGTGCTCAGATTCTTAAAATCTGGCCAATGGCTGAGCTTCAATCTAGCCCACTTGTCAATACAAGCATCACAAATGTTCAGATTCCTTAAGAGTCTGGCCAATACGGCAGATCTTTAATAAACCTTGTCTTTGGCAGAAAGAAGGCTTGGATCAAATTTTCATTCAGGCCGGGCTTGCATGTTATTATTTCGGGGTCTCAGCACCCTAAGCTCCTAAACCTCAGCAGCTGGATTGGGTGTTATTTATTTTTTGGTTGTGTTTTATTCAAGCCTATCCTTCATTACCAAAATGAGGCCGCTACATGTCTCAAGCTGTTTTCCAATAATTACAACTAGCTGGTGAGGAATCATCCCCATCCTCTCAGCCAGTTTTCCTTATGACAGACAACTGGCATCTCTGAGGTGCTTCCTTGCTTCCAGGACAGTTTCTCATGGCAACAGCATTTCCTTTGAAGAGAAGTAAAGATTTAAATGCTAAGAGCCAAAGCTAACCAAAAGACAGAGCTTTATTGAAAGGAATTTACAAAAGACTTCAAAAAGTAGCTAACAAATACTCAAGGGGCAATAGCCCCAAACAACAAACTGTGTAGGTGAGTGGTCCCAGAAAACACAGGTGAACAAAACAGAGATACGCCTCATTTGCATAAACCCCTATTTACAGGATGAACAGAGCTCTACTTATAGCTAAGAATCCTTTTTCCTTTGAAGCCCCAGTACTAAGCAAGCACTAACCACTGAGCTAAATACAACCTACATTGAGGCTGAAGGAGCTTCCCTCCCCAACCTTGTTTAAATATCCAGCCTCGATTTATGGTCTGGAGGAAGAAATGAATTGTGATATTTCTCATCTTTCTAAATCCCAGAACCTCATGGACTTTAACCATTATAGTTCCTTCCTGTGTCTCTCTGAATGTTGTAAACTCAGAATGTGAACAATAATTCAAGACCACCTTGAGTACAACTCACTAGAGAAGTCTCCCTGGGCCCTCTGCTTGGGGTACCATGCTATGGGCAATGATTCAGGGAAGCAGATCGTTAGGCAATGAAAGTAGGAAAAAGAGGCGACTTTAGATAGCTAGAGATAATGAACAAGGAAAAAACCAATCCTAAAAGCAAAGAGACTTGAGGATTCATTGATGTGATCAGCTGGTAACTACCCATTTCCCTCCCACTATCATCACCAAGCTGTGAGAAACAGCTGTGTGAAGTGAAGCAAGTCCTTTCCCATCTTTGAACATCATTTCCAACATTTCTAAAATGAGGGGCCTGGACTAGACAATGGCTGATAAAACCATGCTGTGGAAAGAGCCCTGAATTGGCAACAACACGCCTTAGAGTTCCAACTCAGCTGCTAATTAGCTGGGTGACCTGGGGTAAGTCACTTCATTACTTGGGGCTTCCATGACCTCATCTATAAAGTAAAGAGGCTAGGCTTAACTTCAGGGAAATTACACAAATATGGGGTGGAAATTCAGGAATAGAGGTGAAGTTTTTTTTACTATTTTAGTAATGTTGGAGCTCCTATTCTATTCTGCTGTATTTAGAAGGTTCTCTCCAGCTTAAATGCTCTATAATTTCTAAGATAAGCCCTTTTTTGTTACTTTTCCCATCAATTCTCCTTTCATTCACTTAAACTTGATTTCATTTGCTTAAAAATGTTGATGGGGAAGATGGGGAATACATCATCATTGTATCCAGGAATGGGGGTGGGAGTGGGGACCCAAGGACAAACTTTCAGAAGGCAGTCTCCACTCACTGAAGTGATTCAGATACACAATGTCTCACATCACACAATACAAACCCCCATCATGGTGTCTGGGAGATGCCATTTTAGAACCATCCATCCTAGGGGAGAGTTGCTCAAAGGTTTTTGCATCTGGATATTCCTAATGACCCTCCCCCCTTGAGGAAGTGATATTGGGGGAGGAAATCAGCAAGCTACCAAGAAAAGCTATAGGTGGGTATACAACATCCCACAAATCTCCAAGTTTCTCTTGTTCTTGGAAAACATCTCTGTTCAGCCACAAGCTTTAGGCTACAAAAAGAGAAAAGGAAAGAGGCCATGTGGTCCATGCTATGCTGGCCGCAGAAGCCAATGGCCACTGTGATCAGACAGATACTTTCAGATGAGACTCCTGCTGGATGTAGCAGTGACCCAACCTTCTGAGAGAGTTCAAGAGTTGAGAGCCAGACCTAGAACAGACGGAGATTCAGTCTGCTTTCTAGGACTACAGGATGTTGGTGTTGAGGGAGGAGACAGGCTGTAGCAGAGATGACATCCAGGGTACCTGCTGAACAGCTTCTGAGCAGCATCAGCTGGCAAAGAGGTGGGAAGGGCAAACTCTCTCCTCTCTGTTTCCTTGACCTAGTTGATTTAGGCCCCTGCTCCCTGAGAAGGGTCTTAGACCCTTGTGTAAATCCCACCCCTGATTCATTTACCACCCAAGGAAAGCAGGAAGGAGAGCCAGAGAATGTTATAGCTGTTTCCAGAAATGGTCAAAGACAGTTTGACTTTTGTTTGCTCTGAATAATGAAATGAACGTGACTGCATTATAGATCGCTTATGTTAAACGATAATATAAAAATCGGTCAGATAGAGGGATATTATACAAATATGGGGTAGGAGCTCAAGGACACAGAAGAATTTTTTTTTTTGCTATTTTAGTAGGGTTGCAGTTTCTTCTGTAGTATGCTCCTAGATCTGTATTGAATGCAGGGCCTTTGCCATCCTGCAAATTGCTGGAGGCTCAAGTAGGTGAGAATGACAGCAGTCAGGCTGAAGCCCTCTGCTGGGCAGTGAGGATACTACAGCTTTTAGGAAAGCTAACACATGGGCATTTCACTAACTTTTTTTTTTAGGTAATTGGGGTTAAGTGACTTGCCCAGGGTCACACAGCTAATAAGTGTCAAGTGTTTGGTCTGAGACCGAATTTGAACTCAGGTCCTCCTGACTTCAGGACCAGTGCTCTATCCACTGCCCCAACTAGCTGCCCCTCATTTGGCTAACTTCTGATGAAACTGTTTGGCGGGACTGAGGGTAGAATCATGTGGTGGCAAAATTATGTACTACACCCCCTTGCTAGTTAATTAACTACTTGATCAGATGGCAGCCTACTTCCCTGTAGGTTACAAAAAGCAGGGAAATGAACCAAGTGTGGGCAGCTGCTGCTATGTACGACACAGCCTGGTGACTGCCATATTTGTCTATGGATAGAAAGTATTGCTCCCAGTATACTTAGGGTTGGATGACTTCCATTCTGTCGGTGGTGGACAGGAGGAAAAGGGCAAAACATTTTTAAAATCCTTGATTCCAAATTGATCCATGAGATGAACATAGAGGCTTCTTAGTACAAGTGAATAGAGAAGCAATGGCCGGAAACTATTCCCAAATATATGTTCAACCTGGTAGAGCAGGATGAACACTAGACATGGAGTCACAGACCTTGAAATGAGTCCTAGTTATATTTCCCAACCATGAGAAAATATCTCACTAGCTCAGAGCTTCAGTTTCCCCAAGTGACTCTTTGTCCCCCAGCATCCGCCATTTGGACTAGATGACCTCTGAGACCCCTTTCATCTCTGAATCTATGATCCTATGAAGGGTCTTAGAGAAAAAGGTGAATGATCCGTCCCTGTGATCTCTTGTATCAGGATGGCACTTCTGCCTAAAGGGCTATTCTAGGTGGAATATCTCAAGGACCGGTGATGTCATTGGTGACTGGAGTTAGGAGTGAGACTACTCAAAAGGCGGGGGAAGGATAAAGGGAGGAGGAGCAGAGAAGTTCAGTAGCAGGCAAATACCCAATTACCCTCTAAGGCTTAGAGTCTAAACAGACTGGCTTCTCTAAACAAAAATTCCAGAAAGGACCTGCTCTACCTTTTTTAACTGACTGTTTAATAGATTTGATCTCCAAAGAACTATGCTCCACTCCTGTGTGCTCTCTTCATTGTAGAGGTTGGAATGTATCTTCCCTAGTACCTACAGGATGATCCTTGGTTGTTCAAATGGTCTGCCAATTCGTCGAAGGGCAGTGATTTAGACCTCCCAGCCCAAGCAAGAGCAGTTAACTTCCTTGGGCCTGAATGGCTGGACTGATGGACCAGAATGTTTAGCATGAAAGCGTCATTTTACATGACTCACCACTTCCAGACACCTAGGAAAGAAAACTTAGAGGTGGTGTTGCGTCCAAAGTCCTATCCAGGTCCCTACCTGTGGGAGCCAACCTACGTCAATCAAATAACATCAGTCAAAGATTAAGACAAACAAAAGTAAATAAAATCAACAGAGAGGCCAAAAGATCACAGATCATCAAGTTTCCTCTAAGGCCATTGATTCCCACTCCTTCCTTTTACAGATGAGGGAACTAATACCCCAGGGGGCGAAGTTATTTAAATGCTAGCTATAAGTGTCTTGCTGGAGGTCTCACAGGGAGTAAGCATTGCAGGAGGAGTTTGAAGACAGACCCTCTGACTCCAAAGCCAGGGCTCTTTTCCACCGTGCTTACATCGGAGAGATAACTGAGGGTCTTTGGCTGGAGTGCTTTATGAAACAGACCTGAAACAATCAAAGTCCCCTTCTCTCCAAGACCCTTCTGTCCAGATCAGGCTCCTCTCTATGCAAACCTGACAGACCTAGCGCTGGCACAGCCAACGCCCCCCGATGGGGAACAGATCCCACCAGCACCAGTGCTGACACCCACAGACCCTGTCCCTCGAGAGACGACAGTGGGGTAGAGATCTCCACAGACCACTCCCCCCTGGGAACGGCTCACACCTGTGGACAAAGACATGGCATCAGATTTCTCAGCCTGTTTCTCCTGCAAGGCAGATTTCAACTCAACATGTTTTACAGTTAGTGATCAGTTCTCTTCCCAATGGGATGGTAACATTGATGGGTCAAAGCAACAAATGGCCCTAAAGTAGCTTTTTTTCAATCAGATTTGGGGAGATAAATTCCTTAATTTGGGAGACAAAAGATTGAGCTTCCCAATTCCATTGAGCACAGTTTGATATTAATAAGGATGACCTGGAGAAACTCCCAGATGAGGAAATCCCTCTATTGCAGGTGACACCTTCTCTCCAATTTGAAGTCTTAGAGAATTCCCTAGAGCACTTAGAAGTTAGGGTCCCACAGCCAGTATGTGTCATGGTTGGACTTGAACCCAGGTCTTCTTGACCCTGAGGCCACTATTTTATCCACTAAATGATAGCTTCTCTGATTTTAAATTAGATATCATCATATCATATCAACATGACCAAATTTCACAATGCCAGTCTTCTTATTGACAGATCTTTGTGGATGGTAGCCTGGGATGATATCAGGGATAGGGGTAGAGATAGAGGGGAAGAGGCTATGATAAGAGAAGCCCAGCATGACAAAGTCAGTAGAGAGCTAGATCTGGAGTCAGAAAGACCTGAGTTCAAATCTGGCCTTTGCTACTAGCTCTGTGACCATGGGCAAGTTATTTCATTTGTGAATCTCAATTATTTCATTTCTAAAATGGGCATCATAACACTTGTAGTTCTTACCTTATAAGGCTCTTTTGAGGTTCAATTAAGTGAATGTGTGAAAAGTACCTTGTAAACTTAAGAGTGTGTATAAATTATTCATAAGTGTAAATTATAATAATATAATATAGCATATAAATTATTCAGTAAAAACAAAAATTTGCTATGGGCTATAATGTGTCCCTACAATAGATAATCAAGAATTCATGTCAGAAATCCAAAGTAACTGGGTCAGGAGTTCAAACTAAGCATTCTCTTTCTTGAAATTATGCTGTTTGTTAAAGAGATTCGTTAAATCTCACATGCATCCATGCATGTCGTGCCCAGGTCCCAGCACCAAGCACGTGAATAGTGTTTGTGATAATCTGATTGAAACGGGTCCTTCAACTCTGAAACTGGAATCAGAAGCAAGGAAACTGAAAATTCCTCTCTAGTTCTCCTTTCCTTCTCCTTCCTCTCCCCCCTCCCAATGGGCACTTGGATAACAACCATAGACATGGCCCCATTTAGAACATTACTACAATGTGGGAAGGCATATACAATACTTACATATGTTGACTGAGCCAACACCCTCGCACAACCTGTCCAAAAAAGGATAGAGAACAAGGTTAGAAATGGAATCCTCCATTTTTCAGTGACACAGAAGTTCTCTGAATTGCTTATGAAGCCTTGAGTTTAATTTTGGGCAAGACAGAGAAGGTAGGGCGAATATTTATCCCCAGGGAAGTAGTTGTACTCCATTGCTGCACCATATTCTCCTCTGGCATTTTAACAGGCAAGGAGCAGTAAGGGTGGCACAGAAGACATTATAGGGCTTCCTCTCCCAACACCTTGCCAGCAACTAAATTCAATAAACATTTGCTTTATGATTATTGGATACCAACTATATCCAGAACACTGTATTGTATGATAGGGATACAGAGATAAAAATGAAAAATAGACCCTCCTTTAAGAAGTTTTCATTCTATCAGTAAGGCTTGGGGAGTCCCTATATAGCTTTGTGACTTAAGACAAATCACTTTCCTTTTCTAGGCCTTAGTTTTTTCAAAATAGAGAACTTTGGACTAGATAGACAACTATGGTATAGTGTAAAAAGCTTGAATGTAGAATCAAAAGGGCTGGGTCTACATCCTGGCTCTGTCATTTACAGTCTGTGTGACCTTGGGCAAGTCACTTTCTAGAAGTCTTCCAAGGTCCCTTCTAGTTCCAAGATGTTCAATCAGTACTGTATATGAAAAGCCTGTGAAAACCATAGAGATAAAGGAAAGTGAGGAGGAAAATATAGTTTGATGTGAATGCCAAGGACTGTAGGTGGTTTGACCTTTGTCTTAGGCAACTAGGTGGAACAGTGGAAGGAGCACAGGGCCTAGACAGGGTAAGGAAGACCTGACTAGCTTTGTGACCCTGGATAACTCACTTAATCCCTCTGCCTCTGTAAAATGAGGATAATAATATCACCTACCTCCTGGGGTTGCTGTGAGGATGAAATGTATCTCATGTGATATTTATAAATCCTATTATATTATATCAATGTAATATATTCTATAATTTATTATATTAATATAATATTGTATACCTATGTAATGTATATGTTTATTATATTATAAATATTGTGTTATAATATTAATGTAATATTGTAATGTGAATTATATTATAAATATTTATAAAACACTTAGCTCATTGCCTGGCACATAGTAGATGCTTAATAGATGCTCTCTCTTCTTTCTTAAAGATATAAAGCAGAGACTTTTAGAGACTTGGAATTCATAGTAGGAATCCAGTAGGACACTACCCATGCCATGGATAGATGTCATGAGATCTGTGTATTTGTATGGGTAGACTGAATCTTATTTCAATGGGGGAGCAAATATATCGGAAATATTTCCTTGGGTGCAACTGGTGTCATGGCTTAAGGTTGCTCATACTGGGAAGGTCAAGAAATTAGCTTAGATGAAGAGTTATTAAATTTATGTGCACTTGTTCTCCCTCCCAGCTGCAAATCTGTCTTGCTCTGCTCTGTCTCCATCATTTGAGTTTGAGTTTGGCCATATCCAGATAAGACTAACAAAGTTTTAGCTGATTCAGGTTCCTAGAGAGGCAATGTGGAGTGATGGATGGAGAGGGTCAGCCTTGGAATCAAGAAGACCTGGATTCAAATCCTGCCTCTAACACATAGTAGTTACATGACCATGGGCAAATCACTTACCCTCTCAGTGCCCATAGACAACTCTATAAGACTGTTAATTATGGCAGAATTGTAGCTCTACTTCATCAGAAGAAGGTCCCATACTGGGGGCTTCCTACTCTCATGAAATCACAGGTTTAGGATGAGGAACTTCCCACACTGGGAGTTTCCTAATTTCATGAAATCTCAGGTTTGGATCAGGGGAGTAGGGAGGATGGCACAAAACTTTAGTTTATGCTGTTTCTGATGGAAAAGCATCATTGGACAGTGAAAACCTGTCTTCCAATCCTGGCTTGCTGCTTACTAGCCTTGTGACTTTGGACAAGTAACTTTCCCTCTCTGGAACTCAGTTTCTTCTTTTATATAACAAGGGGGCTAGACTAGATGATGGCTAATGCCTTTTACAGCCCTAAATTCTATGATCCTGGAAGGAATTCCATTCCTAAATGGAGTTGCCAAGCTTTTGCCTTAGTGTGAGAAAGGAAGGAAGGAAATGAACATTTATTACATGGTTTCTATGTGCCAAGCTCTGTACTAAGCACTTTACAAATATTATCTCATTTCTCAGAAAGTACACTGGAGAAGTGGAAAATAGTAAGGAGCCCTGTCACTAAGTAGCTATGTGGCTTCTCCCTCCCCAGGCTTCCACTTTCTCCTTTATAAAATGAAGTGGTTTGACTAGAAGATTATCTCTGGGATCCTTTTCAGCTCTGACATTCTAGGATTCCATCCCAGATAAGAACTGCTGGGTGTCCCTTGCCTTTGCCCCCACCTGCTCTCTTCTCCTTCCAGCAGCTTCCTGTAGGTAGCAATTTCCACATCTAGCCCCAGCTTGATGTTCATCAGCTCCTGGTACTCCCGCAGCTGGCAGGCCATGTCCTGCTTGGCTTTCTGCAGTGCCTCCTCCAGCTCCGCCAGCTTGCTCTTGGCATCATTCAGAGCTGCCTCGCCCTGCTGCTCTGACTCTGACACCGCTGCCTCCAGCTTGCAGCGCTAAGGGAGGAAGGGAGAGGAGAACTAAAATGATCTTGCTTTTTTCTGAACATGTCCTGACCAATGAGGGATAGTGGGGACATAGCACCACCATTTTGGGGGGCAAGAGAAGCCAGCCTCGGCAACACACTGGCACTACAGAGTCACTCCTTGACCTGAATATAGATCAGAAGATGTAAGGGGCTAGAGCTAATGAAGGGTACCACCCTGTGGTGCCCCACACCCTTCTCCCTTGCCCTCTGACCTGCTGCTTGGAGTTCTGCACCTCTGCCGTCAGCCTCTGGATCATGCGGTTCAGCTCATTGATCTCCTCCTTGGTTCTCCGGAGATTCTCTCCCTGTCGGGTCACAGTGGCCTTCATCTCCTCACACTGCAGGTCCAAAGAGAAATGCAGATTTCTAGAGGCACATGAGACCTTAAAGTTCATTTCATCCATACTCCCTCAAGTTACAGAGTAGAAAAACTGATGCTGAGAAAGAAGTGGCATCCCCAAGATCACACTCTAAGTGACGGTGCCTAGACCCAGATCATCAAGCCATAGAGTCAGGACTCTTTCACCCATCCCTCAAGCCCCTTGCCCATCAAAGCCATCAAACAGGTTAGCCATGTTGATTTGACCCGGCTTCTTTGCAATGGAACTAGAAAATTTGAGCCTAACAGTAGGTTTTGTACTGAGCTAGGCCACTGCTCCTCTCCAATAGCATGCAGAATCAAGAGGAGATATGGTGTATCTTTGTTCTCCTTCCTCCATCCAGCAACGAATGAACTTCAGGGCACTTTACGTCTGAACGTGTGAACTTTCATCTTCTCAAAGTGTCCATGGCCTTGAATCAGGCCACTAGCCCTGATTCTGGGAAGACTGATGCTACCTATAGATTTGACTAGAACCTAATAAAAGTCTCACCCCATCCCACCAGGTTCACTTGCTCAAAATCTACCCTGAATCCTCCCCACTACAGTTTCCTGAACACAAGGGAGATGGATCCTCTAACCTTGGTTTGGTACCAAGACTCAGCCTCTGCCCGGCTACGGCTGGCGATGTCATCATATTGAGCCTTGATCTCAGCAACAACCGAGTCCATGTTGAGCTCCCGACTGTTGTCCATCTTCAGCACGACAGAGGTGTCTGAGATGTGTGACTGGAGTACCCGAATCTCCTACAAGAGGGGATGGCCATTACTCTTGGCTGGAAGTTCCCTCCCTTCCCTTTCTCAAACGTTAAACTTTCATCTGATGAAATGATGAGATCAAGCACAAAAGACAGGTACCAAACCCTGAGCTTTGGGGAATAAACCTTAAAATGTCAGACAACTTTAGGAAGAGCTGGCTAAGGAGTTACTTGGGTCATATTCCCACGGCCAAGAGCTAAGCGGAGATTAGATAAGAATTTGGTTTCTGGTCCAAGCAGACAGTCCAATTGAAGCATCCTCCTCTGAGGCTCGGTTGATTTCCACTGGCTATCTGCAGCTGGCTTGCTGAATGAGCCATTGACTAGATCTGAGGTTCAGAATTTGCTATTTTGTTTGTTTCTACTCCAAGAATGAATAAAATAATTGCCAAAAGTCCATATCCCCCTCTTATGGACATACATTGTGCTGTGTAGATGTAACCTTAATTCCAGCATTCAAGATTATCCTAAAGATCAAAGGAGACAAGCCATTTCACATGTGTATGAAGAAACAAACCACAAAAATGTGTTGTGGATGTAACAAAGGGGATTCAGTTGAGATGGGAATGTCTCATTGGCAAGGAATGTTAAAGCTTTGGATGATTTAGGGTCTACAACTGCCTATAAAACAGGGACCCAGAGGGCTTATCATGCCTTCACTGGGCTCCTTTCTTGTCCCTCTTAATACAAAGTTTGTTTTACCTCCTCATACAGAGCTCGAAGGAAGCTAATCTCCTCCTCTAGGCACTCAGTATTTGCTGCCAGGTCTGCCCTGCGGCGGTAAGCACCATCTACATCCTTGGGAGAAAGAAGATAGAGGTGGTCATGATTCTTTCTTCTCCATGTGTTTTAGCTTTCATCTTTTCCTTCTGACTCCCAGAGCCCCCACCTTAGTCCAGCCCCTCATCAGCTCCCACCCAAGTGACTGCAACAGGCTTCCTGCTGGATCGCAAGTTCTTTCTCCCTTCATATGCATTTAACAATGCTCTTAGAGTTATCTTCCACGGAGAACAATGTTCTTCCTCTGCTCAAAAACAGAGACTCTTTTTAAAATTTTTTATTTATTTTATTTTTAATTTATGGAATAAAACAAGCATTTCTATAACATAATTTAAAAAAAGATAATTGCACGTGAAACAACAAATCTATTATGTACAACTTGCTATTCCTTTTAAATATATAATAAAGTTATCATGCAAATTTCTTTTTTTTCCTTTTTTTCTTTCTTGTTTCCCCCAGAGGTGGCTACCATTATATATATGGATGGATGGATGGATGGATGGATGGATGGATGGATGGATGTTTATATATATATTATATAACATATATACGTGCACATACATATATAATGTATATACATACATATATACATATATCTACATATATATGCATATATATAAAATCATTCTATACATACTTCTACTTATCAGTTCTTTCTTTGGATGCAGATAGCCTCTTCCTTCATATATCCTTTGTAGTTAATTTGGACTCTTTCTTCCCTAGAATATTTTATGCAAGTTCCTGAGTCCTACCTTCAAGGTTTCTCCACCCACTGGTCCCATTTAACTGCCCTTTTTTTATGACATGATGTTAGCAGTGAAAGAGAACTTGGAGAAGCATTGAATAGTAGGAAAAACACTGGACGTGGAGTCGGGAAACCTAGCCTTGGGTCCCTGCTCTCATACTTATTACCAATCTGACCTTGGGTCAGTCAGTCAGCCTCCAAAGGCCTCAATTTTCTCCTTTATCCAATGAGAGGGTTGGACTTTCTGAGGCCCCCTTAAGCTCTAAAGTCTTTGTAGAGATTGTGGAGTCTAACCTTCTCACTTAATGGACTGGAAACCTGAAGCTTTTCAAGGAGAAATGAATTAACCAAGGAAAATGCCAGATCTGGAACTCAAAGTCAAGCCATAACACCAGGCTGGCCCCATCCCAAAATGGATTCTCTGCTCAGTTATCCCTTCAGGTCAAACTGAACCCAGCTTTCAACAATACCCATTGTAGCTCTTCTCTCAAGTGGAGTCACTGATAGTGGGAAGCAGGACCTTACTACACTAGTATTTTGAGAGCTTGTTGGTTAGTGGAAGCTGTTTTCCTCACATCTTAGAGAGGTATAAAAGTCACTGATGGAGCCACTAGAATTTGACTCCTTGGAAAATCAGATTCGTAGTTCATTTGTCATTCAAGAATGAACAACTCAGGCTCAGATTCTTATAATCTAGCCAATAGCTCACTAATGTTCAGACTCTTTAAGAGTCTGCTCAATATGGTGGATGTTCTAATAAACCTTGTCTTTGGCTGAAAAAAAAAAGAATGAACAACTCACTGTGAGTCCTTTCTGTTGTGCAGACCATTGTCTCACTCTGATCAAGCAGAGGTTTCTGACCAAACAAACCAGGACTTCTGTTTTGACTCAACTGTCTGCTTTTCCCTCTGCCTATCTATCTGTTCCATGACAATATCTTAAAGAAGGTGCTAATTTTGACTAAATTTATACATAATTAAAGGGCATGAGGTTATATTCTAAGTTTGCCTTGGGGGCTAGTCCAATATTTTGGAATAGTGACCATTACAAGTTCTTCAAGATGTATCTTAGATGGCAGCTAGTAAGGACTATGGGTCACAGAGCTATGATAATGGACTAGTATTGTCTTAGGTGGCCTGTATCTACATAAACTCAAAATAAAGTGAGAGGAAAACAGCCATTCACTCAGTTGCCCACAAAGAGACAAAGTCATTCAGAATGAAATAGATGATTTTCAATGCTCAGTAAATACAGAGTGCCTGGGTCCTAAATGGAGACATGGAAGCCAGGAAAGATGGAAGATAACCTCCTCTATTTTATTCATTTCCCTCTGAGTCAATCTAAATAACATTAACCAGTGAATTCAAATGTCCGCTAACAACCCTGTATGTAGGGTGACAACTAAACCATACCTCTGAACTCAGATTTCTCTTTGCAATGACATTTACTTTGAATGGAGGAAGAGTCACTCACCTTTTTCAAGACCACGAACTCATTTTCAGCTGTAGCTCTGAGACCTACCTCATCTTCATACCTATGAAGAGAGAGCAAAAGGGGTAGAAAGACCTAGGACTGTTTCAGGCTGACTCTCCTCAAAATTCAAAGAACAGGCTAAACCTTGCTTGGCTTTCATTTTCACAAATTTAAAATGCCAAGAATTCAGTGAAAAGATCAGATTGGGAACTGCTAAATGGTGTCATAGGCCCTCTGTGAGCCTCACGATCCACTTCTGTAAAATGAGAGGATTAATACATATGACCTCCAAGATGCCCTTCAGATCTAATGGAGCTCTACTCCAAAAAAAAACCCTATTCTCACTCAAGTCCTTCATTCCCAATTCTACCACTGGTGGCTTGAATCTTTATGATCTGACATAATAAAGATGAGTTCATGCTGTTCTGGAGAGATTTTCCCACTCTAGATCTGCTGCCTTTTCTCATAAAATATGGAAGTGAATTTGAGGTTAATTCAGCCCCAGTTGGCATGGAAACCCACACATTCCTCAGCTTGGCAGTAAGGTCCACTACAGTTAAACTACAGGATATGGATATCTTGGGCAATTTTGGTTATTTCTGTGAAACATCAGCTCTAGAATTCTATCTTTCCCAACCCTGACAGTGGGGGAAAAAATAAAAGAAAAAAACATGAGCTAAACAATTGTCTTTCTCTGACACCTCAGAGGAGACCAAAGCAAGAATCCATGTCCCTGGTCTAGCTAGTTCATAACTAAAATTCCACATTGGGTGGAATTCTACTTTGAGTTTCTTTAAGATAAGGTTATAAAAGAAGGGTCAGGAAAAGAGAAAAAAATGAGCTAAATAATAGTAAGGAGTTATACTTGCACTTTTCTCTTTCAATCAAAGAGATATCTTTTAGCTGTTCTATCTCCTGCGTTAAACTTCACTGTCTTTACAAACTGCAAAGGAAAGAATATGAGGAATGTCAGGAACTACTGAGAAAAACTTATCCTAGGTCAGGGGTTGCTTTTATAAAGTAAATTTTGAGCAAACTTGGAGACAAATTGAGGAAAATTTGAAGAACAAGTTCCAGGCCCAAATACTGGTCCAGATTCTACTTCCATGTTGAAAAGATCAAAGACAATCAGAAAGGACATACAAAAAAAATCTGGAGAATCCAGAAGGATTAGAGAATGGAACCTAGAGAGGCAGATTGGAGAAGAATAAGGAAAAGGTTGTTGGCAAGATAAGGCAAGATGAGGAAGCAAAGATAAATGAAACAATTAAAGGGTAACATTGATTCAGTGGCCTGGTGGATGGGACAAATTGGAGAAGCAGATAGGTTGATGGAAGGCTGATGGGGAGGTGGATCTGATTATTGAGTTGTTGAGACTAAGAAAAAGAAGTTGAGTGGGAATGTCAACTTATGGAGAGGACAATGGGCTATAAAAAGTTTTAGCCAAAGGCTTATGGTTGTGGTACAAACACTTGCATGTAATTCAAAAAGAAAAAAAACCAAGTAAAAGATTTGACCCTGCAAGTCTATATTTCTACCACAATCAAGTTATCTGTGTTCCCACTTCAGACTGATCTAGGAGCTTGAAAAAAAAGACTTCTTCCCACTCCAGACCATTATGAAAAATGAACATGTTCTTAAAGGAAACAAGAGTGAGGCTTCAACAGAAAAAAAAGGGATCTGAGGAAGAGGAAGGGAGGCTTGACCTTGCCAGAATGGGAGAGAATGGAAAAACACTACAAAGATGAGAAAGGGAAGGAAGAGGAAGAGAATGTTAGAGCTTTAAAATAGATATAAAGTTCTTCCTGAAGAGGAAAGATATCCTGAGGAGGGAGAAGCTGCTTGTTCTCCAAAGACTGATGTAGTAGAGTCATAGAACGGTATCAGATAAGTGGACATCCATTAAGGGCCAGGGGAAGAATAGGTATAGTAGTTGATGATTCGTTGCTTAAAGTTGCAAAGGCACCTATTCAATGATGATGATGACAGTAATGATAGTAGTAGTAATAGTAACTGTAATAGTAACAGTAGCAGCAACAATAGTAACAGTAATAGCAATAGCAGTAATAGTAATAATAATAGCTATCACTTACATAGTGTTTTCAAAGCACTTTGCAAATATTACTTCATTGTATCATCCTAACACTGGGAGATAGGTGCTGTTATTGTCCTCATTTTATAGCTGAAGAAACTGAGGCAGACAGAGGTTAAGTGATTTGCCCAAGATCACACAACTCATATGTGTCTGAGGCTAGATTTGAACTCAGGTCTTTCTGATTCTGATACTGAACTCAGTACCTTTCCCAAGAAAACTCTATGGACAGTATTGGCATGCGATGGTCCACAAAAAATTAGATATGATTAAACAACTGAACAACAACAAATATTAAGAGGCAATGATAGTAATTGTACTCTGTACCATCTCACTGTACTCTGCCCTTTTCAGACCTCCATGGGAGTATAGCCGGAGTACAACATATGGGCCTTGAGCCCATAACACATGAGGATGAGGTGGAGTATCTGGCATATTTAGCCTGGGAAAGGAAAGACTCAGGGGGAATACGATGGCTGCCTTTTAAGCATTTATGGAGGGGAGATTGTATATTTATGTTGTCACAGAAGACAGAACCAGGAGCAGTGAATGAAGTTGCAATGAGGGAAATTTAGATTTGATGATAGGAAAAGTTTTCTAACAATTTGAGCTGTCAAAAAGTACAATAGGCTTCCAAAGGGATGGTGGATTTCCCCTTCCTGGGAAGTCTTCAGACAGAGGCTTGATGACCATTCATTGGGTACGGTGTGGTGAGGAGGTCTTGGTTGTGTGGGTTAGACAAGATGGTGGTTAAGGTCCCTACCAACTCTCAAAAAAAAGTGATTTTCTGAATTATCAGAATTAGTTCTCTACTGTATCATTTCCCCAAATTCCAATCAACGTGGGACTTAGATACTCAGGATGCATCTTTATGACACAAAGTGAGGGTAAATTAGCAATAATCTAGGAAATTTCACTACAAAGTTTTACATTAATAATAATAACTGGGAAGTCAGTGTGGTCTAGTACAGAGGGGTCAAACTAATGGGCTAAAGTCCATATGGGACCCACAAAAATCTTGAATGTTGCCTAAACCAAATTAAAATGTAATTGAGACAATTTTAACAAAATGAATAAAAATACAACACAGATTATGTTAATTTGTGGTTTTATAAGTTAATATGTAGTCAGGTGGGATCTATTTCTATTTGATTTTGTCATCACTGATCTAGTGGATAGGGAACTGGCATTGGAGGCAGAAAGTCCTAGGTTTAAGTCCCACCACTGGCCACATGTGTGACGGTGGACAAGTCACTTAATCTCTCAGTGCCCCAGACAATTCTCTAAGACTGACCCAGATTGGTTGAGGGACTTCCTTCTCTAGGTTTTCCCTACACTAATGAAATCACAGGTCTGGTCCCTGTTCTTATCTCTTGGAAAAGCAAGATAGCCTAGTGGATAGAGTGTTGGCCTTGGCAGCAGGAAGATGTAGATTAAAGTCATCCCTTTGAAAATGCATTAGCTATGTGCCTGAAGCAAGTCGTTTAACCTCTAAACAGCCCCCAAGCAACCCTCTAAGACCATAAATTACAGAATAGTGGCAGGTCTTCATTCCTAATAATAACGATGACAATAATAACAGTTACGTGGAACATTTTCAGTCATCTATATAGCTGCAAGAAGTACAATAAGAATCCAAGTTAGATCAAATGAGAAATAGAAAGCTTGAGCACCATTCATATAGCGAATGACAGAGAAGAGTTATATCAAGGGAGGTAACTACAACTCTAGCTTCTAAAGTAGCAGGAGCAGTTAAAATCCATATGTGTCATCTCAAATGCTTCACAGTGGTCCGTGAATTACCAGCATGCCATTTTACCAACTTACCCTTATGCCTGCTCTCATCTTTCTGAACAAAAGGCATTAGATGAGAACATTAAAGTACCCTCCAAAAATAGGTCAGTTGTGTTATGTACTTTATATAAAGCATTCACAGCTTATGTCACTAAAATATATATAAATATATATATACACATATATGCAAAAAATTATCTATTGTTTGAGAAACAAAAAAGGTGTACCTCAAAGCCCTGTGTGTGTGTAAAGAGCAAGTTATTATTTATAGCACTTAGTAATTAATGAACACTTGCCCCAAGGCACCATATAACATTTGTACTGTCTTTGTTGATTATAACAAACCTTTGACTTTGTTTCCCATTCATGGCTTATTCATGTGGCACAAATTTATAAAACAGACTTAAGCAGAGTGCAAATTCTAGAGAATTTGAGATCCACATGGCAAACTGTTTTCTGTTTAAAATATGCCACCAATACAATAATGTCAAGATTAAATTACAGATTGAGACACATATATATATATATATTATATATATATATCCATAAAACATCTATGTATAGACATCTATATAAACTAGATATATATAAAATAGATATAAACATATATGTATATCATACATAGATACATACATATGCATATGTGTGTGTGTTTCTATGTGTGTGTGTATGGGCATGGCCAATTTGGGAATTTATTTTGCCTGACTATACATGTCTATAACAGGATTTTTGCTGTTGTTGTTTGCTTTCTTGATTGGGGGGAAGAGAAATGGATAGAAGAGAATGTAGACCTGAAAAAAATTTAATTAAAATACAATAAAATGTAGCATTTCTTTAGTAAGACAGTTAAAGTCCATTATGGTTTTATCTATCCTTAAGCCCATCATCATCTCTCCTAAATAGAACTAAATGTGATCTCAAACTAGAAGACTGTAACCAAAATGTGTTATTAATCAGTAGATGCACATGAATGGAATCAAGTTACATGGCTCCACTGCAATAGTCACTTCATCTCATGAAAATCCTTCAGTGATATCTTGGACTCAGTAAATGTAAACGTCTTAATACAAGACAAGAAAAGATGGAGACTAAAGTATTAAACTGATGGAGAAAGATATCTACAAATACCTTGTTCTCCTAGGCAGGACATATCAAGCATGAAGTTATCAAGGAGAAAGCTATGGTTCAATACATTAACAGATGTACTGGCACCCTGAATGCAAAGATCAATTTAAAAAAATAAATGCCTTTAAAGCAATCAACACCTATATAACACCAGTCTTCATGTTTACTCCTGGAAATGTAAAATGGACCATAACATATTTGAAAAGTGTCTTCACAAAAACCCGTACAATATTAATGAAACACAGGGTCCATAATCCTAAGATGGCCATAGGAAAATACTACCTAACCAAAAAGAAGAGAGGATTGGTAGACACAAAAACCTACAGAAACACCTTTGAAACAAGTAAACATTATTTCATTGAAAAATAATAAAGGATGACAGCAGATAAACAACTTTCAATTTGTTCAATGTAATTGAATGTGTTTTACCCCTGGTTGGAGTCCAATAAACAACTAAGATTCAAGAATAGAATCAAAAGGTTCTCCGTGGGTGACATCTTCAGGAACTCAGCCCACAATGTATTAACAAAGAAGCACAGAATAAATGGTTGAATCATGCAGAATTGTTTGTGGAAGTGAAAAGCTTTGTAGGGGCAACAATTCAAGACCATATTGTCTTCTCCAAAAATTACACAAAGGTTAATTTTAAAGAACCTGGACTTTGTATATCAATGAGTCAATATAAATTATGTAAGGACATGGTAGAAACTTTGTAACTCATCACTGAAGGCTGAAAAAATACTAGCAAGCTACCTAATAATACCTAATATGGGCAGTTAGGTGGCATAGTAGATAGAGAGCTGGGCCTAAAGTCAGGAAGGCTCATGTTCATGAATTCAAATCTAGCCTTAGACACTTAGTAGCTATGTGACCCTGGGCAAGTCACTTAACCCTGTTTACCTCAGTTTCCTTATCTGTAAAATGAGCTGGAGAAGGAAATGGCAAACCACTCCAGTATCTTTGCCAAGAAAACCCAAATGGGATCGTAAAGAGTCAGACATAATTGAAACAATTCAACAACAGTAACAACTATACCTAGTAAGAAATGACTTGATGGCAAGAATTATATTTTATAAACTCATTATTTTTCATGAAATGACAAAATCCCATACTAGCCTCAAAATATCCTGCAGAATGCAGACAATCAACTGGATAAGAACCAGAGTCTCACCACAAATCAAACTATTACCCACAATTTTCTGGTCAAAACATCAACCCATAAAAATTTAAGCATGATGTTTAGATATAACAATACCAAATACTCAGTCTCCCAGCTATCTAAAACAGTTAGGTGTCATGATGGATATTGTGCTAGGCCTGATGTCAAGAAGATCTGAGGAAGGATGGAGAGAAGAAGAGAAAGAGGGAGGGAGGGAGGGAGGGAAGGAAGAAGGAGAGAAGAGAAGAAAGGAGGGAGAGAAGGAAGGAAAGAGGGAGAGAAGGAAGGGAGTGTGGAAGGGAGGAAGGGAGGGAAGACAGGAGGGAAAGAGGTAAGGAAGGAAAGAACCATCCATTTTTATACGCATTGATCAAATTAACTAGATCATTATCAAATCACCTTCCTTTGGAATTTTTCATTGATTGATTCTACTTGTTTAATCAAGGAAGTCAACCTTCCATAGTTAGGTATTAAGTACCCTTCAGCAGTAACATATGCAATTCCTACTACTAAGTATTCGCCTTTCTATTAGTCTCCATAGCATCAATCTATATTGTTTGTAGCTTCGGTGCCATATCCTCTCTCTGACTAGGAGCACCCCAAAGACAGGGATCATGTATCCTTCTCTTCTGGATTTTTCCCAAATGCTCAAAACAAGGCTGTATGAATAATGGAACGTAGGAGGGGAGGGGAAGGGGGAGCAAACTGATGGACCCTCCTTTGTCTCATATAGACTCAGGCTAAACACCTTGGAGACCAGAAAGTTGTGATTTGGAGCCAATGACTTGATCTTCCCATTCCCCTTGTACTACTTATGGACTCAGCCTGATTCAAGTTTCATGAAAGCCTCTTGGCTCCTTCCCAACCTGAGACTCACTTCTTCTTGTAGCCCTCCAACACCTCTTGCGTGTGGTTGAGCTCAGAGGACAGCCGTCCACTGTTCGTCTCAACACTCTCCAGCTCCCGCTTCAGGGTATCAATGTAGCCGTTGAACAGGGGCTCCATGTTGCTCTGATAGCATCGCTGGTTCTGGTAGAAGTTCCATTTGGTCTCCAGCAGCTTATTCTGCTGCTCCAAGAACCGGACCTGTAGCACCAGAGAGAAAGACATCATGGGAGAGCCTGTAGCCAGTTATTTCAGCCCAGCCACCTTAACGCCCTAATTTCCAGTGTCTGTATCTGTAAAATGAGAGATTTTGGCCTAGATGATCTCTAAGGACCCTGCTAATTACAATATTCAGATTTCTAGAAACTAGTCAACTCCCTGGACTCTTGCCCCACTATCACCCTGAGGATGGATGAACCAAATTTCCCTTGGTTCACCAATAGCTCCTCTTTTGTATATAGGCAACACAACAGACACAAACTATGATTCTTCTTGTAGTTGGAAGGCTACAAGAAGAATGTTGGGCTCCCCCACCCCTACCCTGCCATGGCTTTAATTAGATTAGATTAATTAGATTACAGGCTCCACAAACAAGAACTATGTCATTTCCACCTGATAGCCTTATTTTCAGCAGGGAGCACCAGAATTGAATTTTCCTAAGAAAGTCCAACCAAGAAAGTCCCTTCTTTTCCTTCACCAAATGTTAATCAATGATAAGGAGTGGAAAACTCATGGTTAGCCTCAACACAATAGAATGGAAAGGTTAAAAGATGGTCGCCTCCAACACCAAATCAAAGAATGTGCTACAAAAGCTGAGTAGATCAGTAGGTTATAGACTTAGAATTAGAAGGGACCCTAGAAGTCATCTAATGAAACCCCTTCATTTCACAGATGCAGAAACTAAAGCCCAGAGGAGTTAAGTTGATTTCTAGGAAGACAGTAAGCAGCACGTCCAGGATCCCGACTCCTTCTGGCTATGAAATATCTGTGAAGCTCTTAGCGCAGTAGGTGCCAATTACTTGGCTCATAATAGGGGCTAATTGCCTGGCACATAGTAGGTGCTGATTGCCTTGGTGCCTAGTAGGTACTAAATAAATGCTTGTTCCCTTCCCTGCTTTACTCAAGGGTTCGTAGCTCTGTAACTGGATAGCTCTTCAGGGAGATATAGCATGCTCTCAGATTAGCATGTTGCAAGAAAGAGTGTGATGGGAGAAGGGAGAAATTCAGGTAAGGTGCTCTAGAAAAATGTGAGAGAGACAGCACTTTCAACTAGGGGCATCCTGCCTCTGATACTTAACTGCCTGTGTATCTTTGGGAAAGTCATGTTGCCTCTATGTGGGCATTTTCATCTATACAAGGAAGGAGTTAGAGTGAATGGCTTAAGAAGTTCCTTTCCATTCTAAATCCATGCTCCTAAGGATCAGGGAAAGTTTTGTGGAGGAGATGTCATCTAAGCTGAGCCTTGAAGAAAGAGACAGATTTCGACACGTGGAGATGAGTAAGGGATACATTCTAGGACTAGAAAATTGCGCTTGTGAATGTATGGATGCCTTTGGAAAACAAAGGAAAAGGAAAGCCAGTCTTGCATTCAACTCCGTGGATAATTCCCAAACAATAAATTAATTTTTTAATGTATAGGGCTAACTGCACCCCAGTTGAGAAGGGAGGGTGGGGGTCTTACATAGTAGTGGGAAAAGTACTAGATGACTTGGGTTTGAATTCTGACTCTTAAACCTGATACCTGTGTGACCTTAGGTAAAATTAGATAAAACATTTTCTCTCTCTTTGGGCCTTGGTTTTCTTATCTGCAAAATGATTTCTAAGTTCTCTCTAATTCTGAAATAGGGTGGCCTTAGCTGGCAGAAGAGATTGAAGATCCTTAACAGTGTCTAGTAGGATTAGGATATAGCTTCTCTGCAGGTCCTCTTCTTTCCCAAATTTTTCTTTCCTTCCAGAGACCCCTTCCTGAAAAGATCCTGGAACTAGCTGTGTCCTCTCTTAAAACTGGAACACAGAAGGCTTTGAATCACTTCACTTCTCGGGCTCTTGTCTACTCCGCTCCCTCAAGGCAGGCAGGGAGCAGCGAGGAATCCTTTTCTGGCAATGAAGAGCGTCTCATGCAAATGGACTCAAGCCCCGGATTGCAGAAGGAAGCCACTGGTGCAGATCATGAAAATGTATTTGGATCAGAATGTCATGGATCTAGAGCAGGAAGAGACCCTAGAGGTCACCTATTTTATAAATGTGGAAACTGAGGCACAGAGGAGGTAAGTGACTTGTCTAAAGGCACCCAGGCATCAAATAATAGTTGTAAGACTTGAACTCTGAGCCTCTGTCCCCAAACTCAGTGCTCTTTCCCTGGTATCATGCTTGTGAATGGGTTTTTTGGGAAATCTCTGATCACCATAGGTTCTTCTTTCCATCTATCCCTCTGACATAAATGCAGACAGACCAATCCCCATCCCTCCAGTCTTGTGAGGACACGTATCCTCCTGTAGGCTCTATGCCAAAGACATAGACCAGAACACACACTCCAAAAGGAACCTCTCCCTCAGCAGCATAGCGTAGCAGGAAGAGCGCTAGGCTTGAAGCCACAAGGCCTAGCTTCAAATACTGCTTCTGTTACTTTCTCCCCAAGTGACCCTGGACAAGTATCATAACCTCTGCCTCAGTTTCCTTACCAGTAAGTTGAGGGGGTTAAACTGAATGCTCTCTGCAGTTCCTTGTAGCTCTGGCCCCAGCCCAGCTTGGGACAAAAAGCCTAGGGGTGTGCTGCAGCTAGCTTGAACTGGCTTCTGAGAGCCAGTTGTTAAATTTTCAGTGTGAGCATTTATGCTTTGGAAATGAGCAAATGCCACAAGCCAAGGCTTGATTTATTGAGATTTTTAAGAATCATCTACTTTAGAAAAGTATGCTTTTCTAATGCTGAATTATTTATGCTAATCATGCTAAGCAAAATGTTAATTATGTAGATTAAATTTAAAATTTTGTTGCACATACTTTTCCCCCCCAAAAGTTCCCCAGCTAGTTGTTAAACATTTACCAATGGCCCTGGATGATAGGCCTCCAGTATCTAAAGCAGTACACACACACACACACACACACACACACACACACACACACACGCACATATACCAGAGCAGAAGGGAGTGTCAACCCACAGTTTCCAAAGAAACCAAGAATGTAACCCATATGTGGTATATATACAGGCTACAATAGATAGATGTGTAATGTAGGAATTCAAAATCCCTCACGACAAATACTAAAATAACCTTCCAAGGACTCTGCTTAGGAGGTAATGGAAAGCTGGCTTGCTCCTCCTCCCTGCTTCTCAGAGCACAGTTTCCTACCACTCACATACTGGTTATGTTCAGTTTTATATTATAGCTGTTTGTATGCATTCCTGGTCTCCCCTACTAGACTGGAGGCATATTGGTGCCAGAGGCCAGATCAAACTTTAGGTTTTCTCAAGAGTATTGCACATGATAAGCTGCTTAATAAATGTTTGTTGAAGAAATGAATGAATGAATGAATGAATGAATGCTTAGGTTTACAGCATCACTTCTTAGATGGATGGTACCAGTCTGAATAGAGTCATCTATCTTCCTCCTCCCACAATCAATTACCTGGTGTTGCATGACACAGATATGGAGAAAGGAATTAAGTGTTTTTGCATTAAAGATCTTTCTTTCCTGATACCTGTATGTTTCCTTTAAGAGTATTAATTGGGATAGTGATCAACTCCATAGAGAAATTAAATTTGAAGAAATGGCAGTGTCAAATGAGAAGAGGAAATCAATGTTTGCCACAGAAGATGGAATATTAAAGAGAGTCAATGCGTGAACTCCTCTGTGTCCATCCTCCTGGCTCCCAGGTGATCCCAGATCCCAAACTCACCTTATCAATGAAGGCAGCAAATTTGTTGTTAAGACATTTGATCTGCTCTTTCTCCTCTTGTTTCACGCACTGGGCGTTGGGGTCAATGTCCAGGTTGAGTGGGGTCAGAAGGCTCTCATTGATGGTAACAGTCGTGATAGAGGGGAGACTGGGCCCACACAGGCCCCCAACTCGGTAGCCAAAGCTGCCCCCACTGCGTGGAGGGCGTCCACTGCCTACAGAAATTTGAGGGGACCCCACAACACCCAAGCTCCGGCTGCTAAAGCCCTCAAGTTTCCTGTAGCCCAGACCCCCAGGGCTTCCTGCTTGGTAGGAGAGGGTAGTGACACTCGGCTGGGCTCCCAGCCTTGGCACCACAGCTGAGCAAGAACTGAAGTTCTTGGTTCCACTCTTCCAACTGATGTGGGAAGATCGGCAGGCCATGATGTCTCCCTAGGTGAAAGTTCCTGAGAAAAAGGAAGTCAGGAGAGAAGGCAATGTGACTTGTGACCTGCCCAATAACCATCCCTCCCTTTTATGCGCCCTGGGAGGGGGCTCAGACAATATAAAAGGGAAGGGAAAGTTGTTTCATACAATTTATGAGCGTGGGATTCTCCCACTCACCAGGCCAAGAGCAAAGCCAAAACTTGCCGCTTTTTATAGGCCTATCTGAGAGACCCTACATCACAATAAACATCACCCCTGCCTTTTCAACCCCACATGCCCTGACATATCTATTAACCCATTAATACACAATCATCCCCTGTGAGTGGGCTCAGGGTTATTTTCCCACATGAGCAAGTATAGACCTGGCCTAGGAAATGAAGAATTGTTAAGAGTTGAAGGGTCCCATGTCCTTCTAATCTGGAAGAGAACTAGTCCCCAATGATGCTAGGCTACCAGGACACAGGAATAAATGCTGGATAAAGAAGCATGCCTTCAACCTCTAATACTAGGAGACTGACCTTTAGAACTACAAGAAACCTTGAAGGTCATCTGATCCAAGCTCCGGATTTTACAGATGAGAAAACAGAGGCCTAGAGAAGAGAAGGGGGCAGCTAGATGGCGCAGTGGATAGAGGCCCAGGCCTGGAGTCAGGAAGACTGGTCTTCCTGAGTTCAAATCCGGCCTCAGACACTTACTAGATGTGTGACTCTGGAAAGGTCACTTAAACCCTGTTTGCCTCAGTTTCCCTCATCTGTAAAATGAGCTGGAGAAGGAAATTGCAAACCACTCCAGCCTCTTTGCAAAGAAACCCCAAATGGGATCACAAAGGGTAGTACATGACTGAAACAATTGAACAACACAGAGCAGAAGGAATTTGTCCAAATTCACATAGATAGTAAGTGGCAGACCTGGGAGGTGAGCCCATATCACCTGAATCTGACTCTAAACCCAACTCTATTCACTGCATCCCATCATCCGTTCAGCACACATTGAGCACTTCCTATATGGAAAGCACTGATGGAGTTACTAGAGGGAAGAAAAGAGGCCATGTACATCAGTAGTAGGAAGAGCAGAATGATGGGGCTTTTAAACACATTAACTATGTGACCTTGGCCAAGTCACTTAACCCCCTGGAAGCTCAGTTTACCTATCTGTAAAATATGAATGATAACACTATGTGCCCTGCAGTTTTGTATGATAGAAAGAATGTTGGACTTGGAGTCAAAGGACATTAGTCCCAATTCTACTTCTGCCACTTATTTTCTGTGCGACCCTAGGCAAAGGTCAACTCCTCTGTGAATCAGTTTCTCCATCTGTAAAATCAGAAGCTTAGAAAATGAGAGGCATCTAGGTGGTTCAATGGTTAGAGCCTGGGAGTGGGAGTCAGTAGGACCTCAGTTCAGATCTGGCGTAAGACACTTACCCAGCTGGGAGATTATGGGTAAATACCTTTTCTGTACCTCCATTTCCTCATCTGTAAAATGGGGACAATAAAAGCACCTAACTGCCAGGGTTGTTGTGCGGATAAAATGAAATAACATTTGTTAAGGGCTTTATAACCCTTCAAGCACTGGCTATTATTATTATTATTGGATTACTTCTATGATCCCTTTCAACTCTGACCCTATGACCTACCTGGAAGGGTTACTGTGAGGACAGTACTTCATGAAAGCTTTAGCCTCCATAAATGTGTATCTTTAGACAAGATCCCTGTCCCCCCCAATCTAGTTGAAGAGATGATGCACAGAAGTGAAAAGTTGAAGAACTTCGAGTATATATATATATACATATATATGCATATATATATGGGGGCGTGAGTGTGTGTGTATGTATACATGTACATATATGTGTGAACGTGTATATATATGTATGTATGTATGCATATGTTTAGCGCCCAATGATTATGGTCGTTGTTCAGTCATATCTACCTCTTTGTGACCCCATTTGGGGTTTTCTTGGTAAAAATACCATTTCTTTCTCCAGCTCATTTTTTACAGATGACGAAACTGAGGTAAAAAAGGGTTAAGTGACTTGTCCAGGGTCACACAACTAGCAAATGTCTAAGGCAGAATTGGAACTCAGCGCCTTAGAGCACCAGGCTTGGCGCTCTATCCACTGTGCCACCTAGCTGCCCCCAGCTTTTATTGTTGTTGTTGTTGTTGCTTCGGTGAGGCAATCTGAGGTTAAGTGACTTGCCCAAGGTCACACAATGTCAAGCATCTGAGGCCAGATTTGAACTCAGGTCCCCCTGACTCCAGGGCCAGGGATCTATGCACTGTACCACCTAGTTGCCCCTTGTAAAGTGCTTTGCAAACTTTAAAGAGTTATATAAATGTTAGCTATTATTACTCCAAATGACTCATCTCCAACTCTGATAGAACCCTCCCTTTGTCACAAAAAATTATAGTGAAGTAAAAATCAATGCATTAGCCAGTGTCTGCCTCATTTCATGCCACCATCCTCTATGTCAAGAGACATGCTTCATTGGTGCCATGGGCGGTGTATTGGTGCATCTGTTTTTCCACAGCCCCTCCAATGCTTGCTTCCAGTCTGTACTAGCTCTTGATTTCACAACACATAAGGTCAGTCAGCATGGGAAAGGGGTTTTGGTTGGGGAGGTGGCTTCCTTTTTGAAGTGGTTCTAATTAGTCCAAAGGCTGTAATCATGCTGACTGCCAGTGTCTACAGGCCCCTGGGGCTTTTAAAGAAAAGAGCTCATTAGAATCGTTCTTTGTCTGAGAAAGGGGTCTGTGTCAGAGAGGCAGAATGGGGAAACACCCAGCAGATGGCTGCCTAGGAGAACGTCAGACAGCAGAAGAAGCCAGACAATACCCAGAATTTGAGATGTGGCCTTTTTTTTTCTCTTTTCCTTCCAACACACAAAGAGGGGTTGGGGGGGGGGGAGGCGGAATCATTTCTTCTCTTTGCCACCACTGACACTGAGCCTCACCCATGCATCTCTAGAACTTTGTCTTGGTCACTGGGAGTTAGAGAAAGCGAAAGAAAGCCAAAAATAATAGAACCAAAAGCTGGAAGAAATTTAAAAGATGATTTATCCAACTTCCATATTCCTCACAGAAGAAAACTCAGGCTCAGAAAGTGAGTCTCTTGCCCAAGGTCACACAGAACTAATAAGTGCCTGAACCTACCACCTGACTCCAAGGCCATATTCTTTCCACTGTATCACACCAAAGCTCCCCTACTCTGACTCAAGGACCATTCACTATAATCACAGAAACATATCACAGAATCCCAGAGTTAGGGGAGACGTTAGAGGCTGCCTAGTTCAACCCATACCTGAGCAGAAAGCCCTTCTAAAAGGTCTGCAACTATAGGTCATCCAGCCTCTTCTTTAAAACCTCTAGTGACAGGGAACAAGACATTTTATTTTATTTTATTTTTTTGGCAGTTGGGGTTAAGTGACTTGCCCGGGGTCATACAGCTAGTAAGTGTTAAGTGGTTGGTCTGAGGCTGGAATTGAACTCAGGTCCTCCTGACTTCAGGGCTGATGCTTTATCCACTGCACCACCTAGCTGCCACTGGAACAAGACATTTTAGAACAACTTCAATAGTTAAGAAGCTACAGCACTTGATTCCAGGGGATTATGGAATCATAGATTTGATGCAGACAGGGACCTCGGAGGTCATATGGTTCAACTGGCTCATTTTACAGATGAAGAAACTGAGGCCCATAAAGATGAAGGTGCCTGCCCAAAATCAGTCAGTTAATGATGCTGATAGGGCTTTCTTTCTCTTTCTTTCCTTTCTTTCTCTTTCTTATTTTTTCCTTTCTTTTCCCTCCTTCCTTCCTTCCTTCCTTCCTTCCTTCCTTCCTTCCTTCCTTCCTTCCTTCCTTCCTTCCTTCCTTTCTCTCTTACTAGGCAATAGGGGTTAAGTGACTTGCCCAGGGTCACACAGATAATAAGAAGGGCTTTCTTTCTCTATGTGCTACAGAACTAGTTTGTGAAACAGAAGAAATGGGCGTGAGCTCTAAGAACCTATTCCCCAAGATGTAGGCTCCCCTCCTGGCTCTACTGCTAGTCCAGGCAAATCATTTCATCTCTTTGAGCTTCAGTTTTCACATCTGCAAATGGAGATTATGATACTTCTCACACACTTACCTCATAGGGTTATTATAAGGCAAGTGTTTTGCAGATTATAAGGCAAAAGAAATGTAATGTTTTGGGACTTAGCTCAAGCCACATGGAATATATGATATCAAGAAAGGTTCTTCCCAGGGCAGCAAGGTGGTGCAATGGATAGAGCACCCATCCTGGAGTCAAGAGGACCTGAGTTCAAATCCAGCCTTAGACACTTGACACTTAACTAGCTGTGTGACCCTAGGCAAGTCCCTATTAACCTTGATTGCCTTCCCTCCCCCAACAAAAGGGCTCCTCAGAGCCTTCAAAGACTCCAGAGTCTCCAAAGTAGGAGTCAGCATCTCCTGGGGAACCAGGCATCATTGCAAGATAGTATGGCCTGACCCCCAAGGGGTGTGTGATGAACCAATCATAGTCAGAAGAAACAAAGACATCTTACATTCCAACCACCCTTCTTCTGAGCTGGCTACCAGCCCCTCAGGGTAGTTATAACTTAAACCAAGGCTACCCACAGCAACCATTCAAGGGCCACTAGGAAATTTCTGTATCCTAGGTCACTTCACGACTGTGGCTGGTGTCACTAGGAGAGTAGAGTCTGAGCTGGGGAGGGGGGGGCAATGACTAATGAGAAAGAGCTCAATCTATGCTTTTCACATAGGGTGGGACAGAGTGAGTCACACAGAGTAACTAAGTACTGACCAATTGTTAATGGATCATAGACAGTGTTATATTATTTTCCCTTCCCCATCCCCCAAATCAACTTATCTTCCAAAGTGCCTTATTATTATCAAGGGTACCACCATCTTTCCAGTTATTTTTGACTGCTTACTTTCCCTTACCCCATATCCACACATCGAATCAGTTGACATTTCTCCCTCCACAACATCTCTCCTGTATGTCCTCCCCTCTCTACGCACATA